ATGGAGAAGTGCGCAGCAAGTACAGATAGGACGCAACACAGAAGGGACAAGAAAATCCAAAGAATGGAAGCAAGAGAAATCATCAAGGCATGTAAGGCTGGGAAAAGAAGACGAGCTGGTCAGAGGGAGACGGTGAGGGATGACCTGCTGGTGCCCTTGGGAGGATGGAACAATTATCGAGGAAGCCCTCAGCACGCTGGGTGCACGCTCTGTGGTGAATCTGTGGGAACACAGGAAGAAGAGCCATGCAGAATGGGCAGGCCTGGGCAGCGGCAATCTGCACTTTCCAAATCGATGGGGCCCCAGTGCCATTTCTGTGAGATCATATATTAGCAGCAGGGCCGGTGCGTTCTTCTATGAGCAGCTCAGACCATGGACAGGGGTGGCTGTCAATCACTGTACTCTATTGCAGTATCCATCCAGGTCCTCTCCTATTAAGGTATGACTCATTCAACTGATGGTTCCTGTACCTACCCTCTCTTTCCGATACATTGTGTCAACCAAGTTATAAAAGTGTTATTACTTCCACACATGGAGTGAGAAAGAAAGTTCTATACTCAATGCAAAACTCCCATTATCCAAGAGGACGGGTGGTGCCATATCTCTGCCACAGGCAGAGGCTGGAAGCTAGAATTCTCCACATCACTCAACAAGTATTTATTACATGGTGGGTCTGTGTGTGTGTGTGTGTCTGTGTGTGTGTGTGTGTGTGTGTGTGTGTGTGTCTGTGTGTGTGTGTGTGTGTGTGTGTGTGTAGCAGACACTTTGAGAGGGCTGGAGGATACGAAAACAGAAATGATACACTCCTTACCCTCAATGAAGTTACATACATACATTCTACAAAGAAACCAACACACACACACACACACACACACCCCAAAGTTATCAGGAGAAGGAGGCACTAGCAAGCTGAAGAGACCAAGAAAGTCTTCAGGCTGAAGGTGAATCCTGGGCTCAGTTTTGAAAGAAACCAAAGATTCTACCATTCAGAGTCAGGGAGGGAACGTATTCCAGACACGATGGCAGCCGGTCCCCCAAACAAACAGAAATGGGAATCGATGGAACTGCACAGTAAGGCATTTAATAACATGTAGATGAGAGAGGTTTAAATGCCAAAAGGAGGATTTTGCCATTCGACCCTAGAGGGAACAGAACGGCTGGAAGTTACTAAGCCCAGCTCTGTGGAGCCCATGCCACCAACGGCCAGCCAAGAAAATCTGCAGCCCTCCCCCACTGGCTCAGCACTGTTTATCCACTCTGCTGGAGAAACTCCCTCAACCATCTGACGCCTGCTGTCCAGAAGATGGTGGGCCGGAGGAAGTGCCAACCTGCTGCCACGTTCGGCTGTCCTGCCTCTACTGCACCTTGAAAGCTCACATGCCCAGGGACATTCATGTATCACTCTGCATGGACCCAGGTGAAATCTCTGTTAAGATTCACCAATTTCTTGCTACACAGTCCTCTAAGAGAAGGCCTCCTTCTCAGGGGACAAGGAGGAGGTCAGCATGGGAATCTCCAGCCACGGGGACATTACATAAATGTGTACTGAATTACACAGAAATAGCTTACTTATTTAAAAGGGGGGGGGAGAGGAAAGAGGAGGGGAGAAGACAGAAGAGGAGAGGAGGGGAAGGGAGGGGAGGCATTTTTTTCTTAGTTGAGATAGATGTTATTAGCTCAATCTCTATACTTTCCCTGAATTTACAGAAGCCTTCCAGTGAACTAACATTCTTTTTGTTTCTTCCTATTCTTAGGTTTCTGGGCAAGGGATTTCAGCTATGCTGCTGATCTTCTCCCTCTTAGAGTTAAGCATCAACAGTAAGACTTCAAATTTCGCACTCCGAATGCTCATGAACAATAACTGGGGAAGTAGCTGCAGGAATCAGAACCTCTGCTAAACAAATGTCAACTCTCAGGTGGAAATGACCCTCAGTCAGCTAAATCCTGGCCTTCCTCTCCGGGTGCAGCTGGAGCAAAGCTCCTGAGAGAGGGGCCTGGAGAAACTGAGTGGGAAGGAAGTATTACTATTGCTCTTTCTCTTTTCTTTTCCAGCCAATTATGACTATTTCAAGTGCATATGCAGCCAATTCCTATACTCCTAATGTATCAACAGAGGCAACTAGGTGAAGAGACAGCACTGGGCCTGGAGTCACTAATATTTGAGCATAAACACACGTTCAGATACTTACTAGCTGTGTGACCCTGGGCAAATCACTTAACCCTGCCTACCTCACTTTCCTCATCTGTAAAATGAGCTGGAGAAGATGGCAAACTACTCCAGTACCTTTGCCAAAAACACCCCAGACGGGGTCACAAAGAGCTGGACATAACTGAAAAAAATGATTGAACAATAATAATGTATCAACAACCATCCCGAGGGGGCTGGCAACTTAGCGAATGTCTGTTGGACTGGCCATCGAAAAAAGTTGAAATTCGTGGAAAAACCTCTTGGCAAAAAAAAAAAAATCTCTTTGGCGATTGGACTTCTCTTTACAGAATGACAAAGACAATCTAAGGGCTATGTCAGTCTACTGCTAAGGGTTATCCTTGGTTATATCTGGATCCACCATTCCCTCTCTTTACTGCACACTGGTACACCACGATAGACCCAGTGACCTCCTGCACAGCCTCCAAAGCAAGAAAGACATTCACAGCTCCAGCCCCACAGGGTTTTCCAGGGTTTCTCTTTACAATCCCTTCAATAAAATGCTCATTATGTTGCTCAACTCATTACGACCCTAAGTGGTTTTTTTCTGTTCCTTTGGTCTACTATTGGTTAGAAATGAGTGAAACTCATCCAGCTTCACAAAGAAGACTAAGGAAATTCCCATAAAGCTATTTTATCAGGCAAAATTTCCAAGATGCTCATCTTCCTTTGCCTTTCCATATTTTTGCAATTTAAGAATTATATTTAAGGAGGGATAATCAGAGGGCCCCTCTCCCCTGATGCGCTCTGGAGTATTTCCAATGGATCTGAGCCTCTGCTCTGGGTCATTCCTATTACTCACATACCCTGGCTCGTGGCTGAAAGCCTTGCACTGTGGATTGGCGCAGCAAACTCATTTTCTGCCATCAAAGCCTCCCTTCTTGGAGCTTCTGTTCCTATTGAAGGCACCACCATCTTCTCAGCCCCCCAGTTTCACAACCTCAAGGTCATGTTAAACTCCCTACTCTTACAAACTACCATCAAGTCTTATCACTTCTACCTTCGTGCTGTCTCTTACAGAACCCCTTTCTCCCCTTTCACAGTCTCCCCCCAATACAACATAGCACCTCTCCCCCAGACTACTGCAGGAGGCTTCTCATGGGTCCACCCGCCTCAAGTCTCTTCCCACTTCAGTCCATCACTCACATGCCGCAACCTGCCTGGTGCAAGGCACCCAGAGCCAATCACTCATGGATCCAGTCAACGCACTCACTGTATTTAGTGCCTACGTTCTAGAAGCAGTACAGCCTTGCTATAAATGGAAGGAAAGCGACTGACCTTGTCTCAATTTCTTTCCTGGGTACCAGCAGCGGGCCTGCTCCTCCCGCCGAGCGAGTTGATCGACTGGTTGTTGTCCTCTGTTCTCAGGACCAAAATGGCACCCCTATGTTGGGGTCAAGGTCCAGTGTGTCCACCTGTGGTTGATCAGACCAATAAGAGTTCTGAATGCCCTATCACAGGTTAGGCACCAACAGTCCACGTGAACATTTGGAGCAGAGATGCCTCTAAATGCGCACGTCTTACGTTTCTTTTTCAGCTACTGTAATTCTTTGATTTGGGCATGCCATACCGGGTGGTCCTGTGCCAGTGTCTCCCGTATCACCCAACTGATTCCAAAGTTCTTGAAACTGTCATTGTACAGCTACTTCTGACCTCCATGTAAGTGCTCCTGAGTTAGAGCTCGTATTAATGCTCCCTAAAACAGTCCTCGAAGCAAACATACATTTGACTTTCGAACAATGTGGCCAGTCTATCAGAGCTGCAGTACAGGTGGAATGCTCTGCAATTCAGCTTGAGAGAGGACCTCAGTGCCCGGCACCTCCTCTTGCCAGGTGATCTTCAGACTCTTCCTAAGACAATTCAAAGGGAAGAGATTCCGTTTCCTGGCATGGCGCTGGTAGACCGTCGAGGTTTCACGGGCGCACAAAAGAACGAGGTCAGCACACTGGCTCTGCAGCCCTTCAGTTTAGTAGGCAGCCTACTACCTCTTCCTCCCCACACGTTCTTTTAAAGTCTCCCAAACACTGGCCAGGCACGCATCGACCTCATCACCTACGTGTATGTCGCTGGAAAGGAACACTGCCAGAGTAAATGGACTTATTCACAGCATTCAAGTCTCCTCCACTTGCTGTAATCGATGGCTCCACACGTGGATAGCTGGCACTGGCTAGCGGAGACCCTGTTTTCTTCGTGCTCGTGGTTGGGCCAAAATCGGCTCAGGCAGCAGAAAAATCACCCGTGCTTTTTTGCATCCGGGCCTCGGAGGCTGCACTGAGGGCACAGTCGTCTGTGAACAAAACCGATCACACGCCAGCTCTCCCTCCACTTCGGTCTTGGCTTGCAGCTCGTTTTACTTTCATGGACTTTGAGTCGGGAAGACCTTCAGGCAGTCACCAGCTTCGCGGCCCCAGGCTACTCACGTCCCTTCCCTCAGCTTCCCCACCTGTAAAATGGGGATGATGACAGTCTCCGCGGCCCAAGGTCGTGGGGAGGGTGGAGACAGATGCTTAGTATTTGCAAAGCGTTCTGCAAATGTCAAAGGGCACAGGGAAGGAAACTGACGGCCTAGGAAGGGAAGGAGTAGAGTCGCCTCGCGATCAGGGGCGAGGTCTCCTCAGGGAGAAAGCCAGAGGCCAGCTTCCAGTCCCGGCGGCTCCCGGGCTGCACGTGGCCCCGGGCTGCACGTGGCCCCGGGCTGCACGTGGCCCCGGGCTTCACGCGCATGCTCAGGGAGGGTGCACGTGGCCTCCTCACCACCCCACGTGGTCTCCCGGTCCCGTGTGCGCTCCGGAAGGAGGTCACGCGGGCCCTCTTCCCCATAACCTGCTGTTCCCAGACCCAGGCCGCCCGCGCACCCGGGCGCAGGCGCAGCTGAGTACTCAGGGGCTCGCCAGCGCCCCCTGCGGAGCGGAGCGGAGCACGGCGCAGCCTCGGGCAGAGGAGCGCCTCCCTACGGACCGCAGCGGTTAGTCAGGCCCGGGCGCCAGGAAGGGGGAGGACGGCAGGGGAACTTGGCGGGCGTGGCGGGAAGAGCGGCGGTGGGGGTTCTGCCCCCTGCTTTCTGGGCCTCAGTTTCCTCGCCTGTAAAACGGGCGAGTTAAGGAGGAGGCCTCGGAGTGGCCTCGGGGGCTGGCCCGTCTTGGGGGGCGCCCACCGCGGGGAGCCCGGCCCCGGCCTGCGGAACGGCCCCGAGGCCCAGGGCGAGACAGCGTCGGGTCCTCCTAGAAGGCCTGGGGGAGGGGGGCGGCCCTTCACCTCCCCCCACTGTGCTGACCACCCCCTGACCCCGCGTTGACCCGTGTGACCCCGGACAGAGCCCCCCCAAAAGGGAGGGAGGTTGGCGGGGATCTGTAACACGTGGTTGTTGGGGGGGACCTTCGAGGATGGGCCGGAGAAGGGGCGCATGCCCCCCCCGTTTGCACCCCCGCCTCCCCCAGGTGCCGGGGCCGGGCCTCCGCGCACTGACGGCGTTTTCATTTGTGCGTTTGGGAGGCGACGTTCTGGCTCAGTGCTGGCCCTGATGTTTTTTCTCCTTCTTCCATGGTCTCCTCTTTGAAGTCAGGCCCTGTTTGCCTTTCAGTTTCTGCTCCTTTTCCCAACTTCACGTTCTGGAATAACCTTCCCCTTGGCTCACATCGGCTGCCGCGGCTGAGAGCGCCGGGTGACCCTGGGCGCGTCGCGTACCCCCGGCTCGCTCGGTTTCTCCATCTGTCAGTGGGGGCAGTAATAGCCCCTTCCTCCCAGGCTTGTGAGGATCGGAGGAGGTAACATTTGTCAAAGCGCCCAGGGCCTGGTACTTCCTGTGCAGTAGACCTTGATAAACCCTGAGGCGCTCTCTTACAAATGCAGTCGTTTCGCTGTGGTCCGGGAGGAGAGCGGAATGCTGTGGAGATGTTGGCAGGCCATAGGATCGTAGGTAGAGATTCAGAAGATGCCTTGATGACTTTGTCCTCCAGTTCCCCCCATTTTACAGCTGAGGGGACTGAGGTCCGGGAGAGAAAAAGACTTAGCCAGGTAGTAAGACCCAGATGGGGAAACCGGAGACAAACGGAGGCTAAGTGACTTGCCCAGGATTACACAGCTGGTAAATGTCTGAGGCTGGATTTGAACTCAGGTCTTCCTTCCTGCAGAGCCAGCCTCTCTCCACTGCATCACCTCACTGCTCAGCTAGTCTGTTTTTAAAGTCCTCAAGGAAGGGAATTTGCTTCTTCCCAAAGCAGCCCTTTCCATTTTAGGACAATAAACTATTTAATTTAATTATCTCCCTGATTTCTTTCCTTCCCCCTGAAACTCATATACCTTCTTGTGCTTCACTGGTCTTTTTAACCTTTTTAACCTTTCCTCTTTAGCCCTCAGGCTTTTATCTCCCCAATTAGATTGTGATCTTCTTGAGGGCAGGGACTATGTTCCTTTGTTGTATCCCCTAGAGTACTTTGTACAACATAGCCCATAGATATCTTTTGTTTTTAGTATTTTTAATTAAATGTAAAAACAATTGTTAAGATTTGTTTTTTAAAAGTTTGAGTTGCAAATTTTCTCCCTCCTTCTCTCCCCTGACCCCTCTCTGAGACAGCAGTAGATTTGATATAGGTTATACATGTGCAGTCATGCAAAATATATCCACATTAGCCATGTTGCAAAAGAAAACAGAACAAACAAAAAAATAAAGAAAATTTCAACCTGCATTCAGACTCCATCAGTTTTTTTTCCCTGGAGGTGGACAGCATTTTTCATTATGAATCCTTTGGAATTGTGACTGGAATAAATCATTTGAGTGAAGGTCAGCAAAGGGAGAAACAGAAATTATTTTGTCATTGGAGTATACTACGGACTATCTAAACAGAAAGAGAAGATAGATGATGAGTTTAAGAAGCAGATCACAAGCCTGCCACAAGTAAATATAGTTGTGATGGAAGCTTTCTGTTATTCAGACATCTGTTACAATTCTCTGTGTGTGCCTGCCTCATTCTCTCTCACTCTCCCTCTCTCTCTCTCGCTCTCTCTGTCTCTCTCTCGCTCTCTCTGTCTCTCTCTCGCTTTCTCGCTCTCTCTCTGTCTCCCTCTCTCTCCCTCTCTCTCTCTCTCTCTGTCTCTCGCTCTTTCGCTCTCTCTCGCTCTCTCTCGCGCTCTCTCTCTCTCTCTCTCTCTCTCTCTCTCTCTCTCTCTCTCTCTCTCTCTCTCTCTCTCTCTCTCTCTCTCTCTCTCTCTGTTCCCCAAAAGCAGCTAATAAGTTCTTAACTTGCCTCAGTGATAATGTGATCCTTCAAAAAGTGGAGGAACCAACAAGGGGAAATTCTGTTCCGGATCTTATTCTAGCTCATAGGGAAGATCTGGTTGCTCAGGATTGAAAGGAGGGAAGTTCTTGAGGGAAGTGACCTTTCCTTCTGAGTTTATGGATGGAGGAGAGGTAATCCAGGCATGATCTGACATGCTCTCTAGATATGGGCAAATGAGGTTTTAAGTACAGAGGAAGGATGGGTAGGATCCCCTCGACTAAAATTCTACAGGGAAATCTCAGGAAATATGGGAAATAATCTACAGTGAAATTTTGACGATGCAAAAGTGAAACAGTTCAAATGAGAAAAAAAATGAGATTGTATGAAGAGATCAGCAAGATTGGACATTGACATCCCCAACAAACTGTTTTAAAAAGAAATTCATAGAAGATGGAAACGAGCAGAGGATGAATATAAAAGTGTGATATAGTCTTGTGAGGATAGAATCAGTCTTTCAAAAACTCAAAATGAGCTGAGACTGACAAGGAAATCTAAGGATAATGAAATGGGAGGCAGATAGCAACATTAGGAGAAATAAAAGAATCAAGGAAAGTTTAGGACCTGTGCTTGGGATGGATAAGATGAGGATATTTAGCAAAAGGGGGAAGGCAGGCCTACTTCATTGTTATCTTGCTTTTTTTCCTCTGCCAAGGAGAGTGATGGAACTAACATGGATAACGGAGTAGAAGCCCAAGCTAAGTAAGGAGTACCTACTTGCCCTTGATAAATTAAAATAAAATATCATTGAGAATTTTTCCATAAGACAACCCAGATCATTGTAACTTTGTCTCCTGGGAAGGCCATTTCCCCATCCAGTAAAAATATGTGCACACTAACAGCATTTTCTAGTGCTACTGAAATCAATACCACGTAGCTCAGGAACATGAATTTAAAGCCAAAAGCAATATGAGAGATAATTCTGTCCAACTCCCTCATTTTACAGATGGGGAAACTGACGCCCTGATAGGGGAGCAATTCATAGGATCGTAGATTTAAAGCTGGAATGACTTTAAAGGGCATTGAGTCCAATACTCTCATTTTATAGATGAGACTGAGGCCCAGAGAGGCAGCATTAGGATTCAAACCAGGATCGTCTGACTCCAAATCCACTTTTCTTTTTACTCTGCCCCAGTATGCCTTAGAGCTGCTTGCTCTCTGCCAGTTATCACCTCTAAGAATGCTAGAAGAGTAACCTCACTCCTCTGAGCCTGGAAGGACGGGCAGCTCAGTTTATGTTCTTCTGATCCAAGCACATTGGTGTTTTGCAGTAACTGGATTATAGAGGTGTTCTCGGGACTTGCTTGGAGGACCCACCAGGCTCGGGACGAACATGCCTCTCTTTCCCATAGAAAGCCTTTCTCTCTTGGACAGCCTGGTGTTAGGGGTGAGTGTGACTTCCTGTGGACTCTCCATTTAAAAAGGGTGGTGCTTGGATCTGAGGGAATGGGACAGCTTTGGTGAGGTCAAAAGATAAAGACTTTGTCCAAGGCACATCAAAGCCTGCCCTCTCTAGGTGGCTCACTGTACCTGATGCCCCAACATCTTAGCAGTAAGACCCAAAACTGACATCACAAAGACTGTGTGGAGAATCAAGGTCTGAACCCGAGCTCTCTGGTTCCAAAGCCCTGCTGCTCCATCACACCAGAAGAACTCAATGGGAGGGTGATGGTTTGATTTACAATGGCGTCACACATCCAAGTTTGCCTATTTGCCTATAATCCTGTTCTTTCAAATAATAATCCAGTGAGTTAGTAAATGCTGAGATTGATTCATCCTCAGCTCAGTCTATTCCCCACTCCCCTTACAGGGAAATCCAGGCGGGGGAGTGACACTGGAAGGCAGCCCTGAAATTCTCTGATTCTGGCAGTCAGAAGCCTGGTGCTCGAATCCCAGCTCTGACACTTACTAGCTGTGTGACCTCGGGCAAGTCACTTCATCTCAATCTGTGTCAGTCTCCTGACATGGAAAATGGGGATAAATAACAGCACTCCCCTCCAAGGGTTGTCGTGAGTCTCAAAGAGATATTTGTAAAAGGCAGCTGGCACATAGCAGGCATTATGTGAAAGCCTCTTACCTTCCCCCAGCCTTCCTTTCCCCCTTCAGCCTCCCACACATGCTGTGGTGTCTCTGTGCCCCCCCTTTTTTTAAACAAAAACAGCAACTCTGATTTTCCCAAGCCCTTGGAGCCCCTTTGGAGAAGATCTGTTCCAAACTAGTGATCCTCCCCCCCAACCTGTGAAAGAGGCATCTCTTAAGCTGTATGAGCCCTGAGTTTCCAGGCCCTGAGCTACAAACTGGGCTCCAGGTTACCGTGGGGCATGCCCTGTATTCCAAAAAAAATCAATCAATTTAACAAGTATTTGTGCTTGGGATTAGGATTCAGAAGGTCCGGATTTAAATCTCTCCTCCAACTACAACCAGTATGACCTTGGACAAGTCACGTCTGAGACCCGGACATTGGGTCCTCTGGTGAAAAGTGAGGGGTCTGAGCTGGCTGACCTCTGAGGTCCCTTACAGAACTTGACAGATGGTCCTTTTCTCCTTTGACCCTTTCTGTCTTGGTCCCTACTGAGCCTACCAGCTGACCTGCACTGTGCCAGGCTGGGGATTCAGAGAAGGAACTTCCCCAAAAGAAACACTTATCTTTAAAGAAAAAGCATAAAGCCACCGGCGAGTTAGGGGTGAGTCACTGAAAATTCTCAGGCCTTGCAAGCTGGGGTTGTGTCCTACCCCTCTCCCACAGCAGTATTTCCCATAGCAACTAAAAAGAATTGGTCATTTTTTTTAACATAGGCTGGCTTTATCAGGTGCACAGAGGAGCAAGAACCCCAGAGCTGGATTCAGGGGACTTAGTCGCAAATCCCAGCTCACCTACCTACTACCTGACCTAGAACATGCTACTTTCCTTCTCTGGCAATCAGTTTCCTATAAAATGAAGGTGTTGGCCGTAATGACCTCTAAGGTCCTATGTGGCTCTAAACCTCCAATCCGGTGAACTCTGGATTGCCCCCTCCCATGCTGTACCCCCTGCCACTCCTGGTCCGTCCAGCTAGAATACCATATATCACCTGGAAAGTCAAAGGTGTGCCTGATCCTCCACAGGATTCTATGAGCCTTGATAAATGTGCCTGCCATTGGCAAAGGCAGATAAAGAAGGAAAATCTATCGGTGACACATGTAACCGGTTCATACTCATGCCTCTATGTGTGTGTATGTGTGCATTTGCACGTGTGTATGCATGCACTTGTGTGTGCATGCATGCACATTTGTCTTTTCTACCCAGTACATCATTTCAGGAACTGTTGCCATAATCACGGAGAAAAAGCGTCGACGTTCTCTGGTAAGTCCTTAAGAAGCCCTTCTCCGCCTGGCTGTGACCTGCCCACCCCTCTGGGAGGGAGATCCACCTGCAGGGTGATTGTGGGAAAGGACAGCTACTGACCAGTCCAAAATCCTGGAGAGGGGACCATCTGTGTTTGCAGGGCTCCCCCTAAAAGGCACGTGCTGGTGCTGAGAAGGCCGGCCAGGAGCTTCTCCAAAGCCTCTTTAGCTGCCCGTGGTTAAATTCACTTCTGATACATCCATTTCAGGCAAAGATCACCGTGGGGCTGAACATCATTGGCATCATCTATGCCATCTATGGGCTGATCACTCTGGTCATTGAGTTTCTCAGTTATGACTCTATGTCTATGCAACAAAGTTGGCCTGAGGTAAGTAAGCTGGTTCACTGGGCAGGCCTCCATTTCTGAAGGTGTGTTTGAAGATGGAGAGGGTCTGGCAGGTGGCCATCTAGGCTAGGCTACCCAACCAGGGGGATTTCCTCTGGCTAGTTAATTGAGTTTCTGGGCTTTCCTCCTTCCTAAGGATTCAGGTCCATTTGAGGCTCCCTCCTGGGAGGAATAATGACAAGGAAGGTAGAAATGTTGTGGCCCTCGATGGACAGCGGGCCACAGGACCTCTGAGTTCTTCCTGCCCATTGGGAACTCGAACCCATTACTCCTAGGTCTGTCCTGGAGGTCCCTCTTGCATGGGGTAGCCCTGGATGCAGCTATCCTGCTCCCCCCTCCCCCTGAACCCTGAGTCTTTTCTGCTCCAAGATAAACATCCCTGGTTCCTTCTGTGGATCTCCATATGGTACAACCTCCAGAGCCTTCACAGTCCTGGTGATGGTGACTTTCTCCAACTGATCAAAATCCTTCCACAAATGGGGTGCCCAGGACTGAACCTCATACTCCACTGTGGTCTGGTGAGGTCAGAGGGCAGTGGGCTTGTCCCCTTCATGGTCAGTCTATCCAACAAGCATGGCTGCGCTTGGTGCTGAAGACCAAGCCCCGACTGCCATGCTCCTCCTCTCCTGGTGCCTCCACCCTATCAGGGCAGACGCCACGTCCACATCTCTGCGTGTGGAGAATACGTGTACGGGAGTTAAGGGGGGGGAGGATGGGGAAGTACCCACGTAGAAGCGCTGCTTGAGGAGTCCTGGCCTATTCTCTCTACAGAAACCAGAGACTGCATTCCTTTTCACAAATGCCATCCCCACATGCCTGACTCCTAGTATGCTTAGGGTCCGTTAGGACCCCAGGTCTTTTTTCAAACAACCGCCTCCTGTGAAGTTGGTTGCTTGCACCCAAGTCCAAAATTCCCACATTCATCCCTCCTTCCAAGCCCTGCCCCCTCAGCCCAGTGTTCCATCAGGATTCCTGACCCTGCTGTCCGGCACATCAACTCACCTTCTTGCCTTTGGGTCATCTGCAAACCTTGAAAAGCATGCTTCCATTGGCTGGGGGAAGGGGGAAGGGGAAACAGTCCCTAGGCAGTGCCCCAGTGCACAGAATGCTGGGTCTGGAGTCGGGAAGACTCCAGTTCAAATCCAGTCTCGGACACTTACGAGCCACCTCTGCCTGACTCAGTTACCTCGGCTATAAAATGGGGATAATAACAGCACCTCCCCCCCAGGGTGGTTGTGAGGATCGAATGAGGTCATGTTTGTAAAAGGTACTTAGCAGAGAGCCTGGTATGTAGGAGCTGTTTATTCCCTATCTCCCTTCCCTTCCCTTACCCCTTTAAAAAAAAGAAACATTTTGGAAACTGATATTTAGTTCTCACATCATGTCTTCTCAAAAAAAATTTTTTCAAACCTGTATTTCTCTCTCATGCCGAGACTCACAGTGATTCCCTGTTGCCTGTGATGTCAGAGGCCCTGAGCACACAGTTTAAGATGTTGATTAGGTGGGAAGTGTCCGGAGGACAGTGACCTGCCTGGTAAAGGGCCTCAAGCTCATGTCACATGAGCCTGAAGGAACTGGGAATTTGTAGGGTGACATGATGACCACTGGTGCAGGAAAGAGATTCGTCCTGTTTGGCTCCAGAGGAAAAGGAGAGGAGCAGGGGGGTAGACCTGATTACGTGGCCTTGGAAAAGTCACTTGGCCTCTCCAGTTGCCTCATCAGCGAAGTGAGAGGTTGGGCCAGATAGCCTCTGGGGCTGGTTCTACCCCTTGATCTGAACATTACAAAGCCCTTCTTCCAAGAACTCCAGTGAGGCAGTATGGCGCAGTAGAAGAAGCACCGCTTTGCCTCTGTCCTGCCTGGCACACAGCAGGTGCTGCATAAATTCTTGTTGATTCTGTCTCTGGTTTTCTGTTTTTCACTACTTGTATGATCTTGGGGAAAATAGTTGAACTTCTCTGGGCCTGTTTTCCCATCTGTAAAATCAGGGGAGTAAACTGTGCAGGGACAGAGAGGCTCAGACCCCCCTTACCCTGGAGCTGATGATCCACCACAAAGACGTCAGAGGAGAGGAGGGGTGGGTGTGCTGATGATGGTGATGCGGGAGAGCCGTCCGGCTGTGAGTCGAGCCGCTGGGCAGCCAATGTCCCTTCTGGCTCAGCTACCCTGGCCAGTGGGCTGCAGGCACTCTACAGCCATGTGGTGATCACTGACCAACTTACAAGAAATGCATTCTTTCTTTTCGTTTTGTAGAGGTCTGGTAAGCTGCTTTCAGATTATCTGTTCATCTACACCACCCTGTATGTCTTCATCTCATGGATCATCCTCAGATGGAACCACAAAGCCATCTTTTACTCCCCGAACTGAGGGAATGTTTCCTTCCTCTCCTGCATGTAAGGTTCAGGGGAGGGCAGAGGGATAGAGGTGGCCAAGGCACCTTCCTCTGGGGCTGAAGCAGTATCAGGGGAGAAGGCAGATGGGATTGGCGCTCTGCCAAGGTTCTGTCAAAGACAAGCTCCTGGTCCTTACCTCCAGACTCTCCTCTTCCATGGTTTAAAGAGCCCATCAGAGGCCACCTAGTTTAACCACCTTGTTTTACAGTGGGGGAAACTGAGACCCCAGGAAGTTAAGTGACTCAGCCAAGGTCATGCAGGGTGTTTGTAGAAGAGCTGAGGGTTGAACCCAAGCTCTGGCCCATTTTCTACTGATCCATAATACAACCATAAAAAGGAGTCCCATATTAGTCCTAGGGTGCCAAACTTTCTTTAGTGAAAAAGGACAGAGGATGCTTCTATTTCTGGCCCAAAACTAAAGGAAAAAACATGAGGTTGCTATGTAACAAATACAACTGACCGAGCAGTGACTGAAGAGCTTCAAGCCTCAGTTTCCTCATTTGTAAAATGGGAATCATAATGACTGACTTCACAAGGGTCAATCCAATTTAATTCCACAAACTTTGATTAAATATTCTTTTTTTTCTTTTTCTTTCTTTCTTTTTTAGACAATTGAGGTTAAGTGACTTGCCCAGGGTCACACAGCTAGTAAGTGTCGAGTATTTTTTCTGAGGCCAGATTTGAACCCAGGTCATCCTGACTTCAGGGCCGGTACTCTATCCACTGCGCCACCTAGCTGCCCTTGATTAAATGTTCTTGAAGGATCCTGGGCAGAGCTGGGGGGCCTTAGAACAGAGACTGTGAGAGCTGGGAGGGGCCTTGGGAATCATCAATTCAATTTCTCTCCTAAAATGAAGGGAAAATTGAGGTTCAGATACTGAAAGGACTGGCCCAAGGTGATGCAGCTAGGAGGGAGGCAGGGTGGTGCAGAGTAAAGTCCAAGACTTCAGTTCAGCTCTTCAGATGAGGTCAGATGTGTGGCCTGGAGCATGTGACTCTCTTGGAACCTCTCTCTTTGCCTCAGTTTCCTCCTCTGTAAAATGAAAAGATTATACTAAATGAGCTCTACAGTCCCTTGCAGCTCAGGCTGTATGATCCCAAACAACAGAGCAGGATTCAAACCCACTTTTAGCATGTCTTTTCACTGTCCTGTGCTGCCTCCTGCTTACGTAACTGGGTAAGGGGGCCCCCAGGAGAGGATGTGCTGAGTGATGATAAGACTCTTCCCGTTGGCCTGTTTCAGCAACCCTTCGGTGACCAGTTCCGAGCCACATCCAGAAAGGCCAGCAGGGATGCCACTGAACACTGCGCTTGGCAGAAGGGCTGGTGCCCTTTGGACTTCCCACCATGCAGCCAAAGTGGCTACACCCTCTCCTCTCAGAGGGGCTCCAACCCAGGCCTGCCATCCAGGGCTTCTTGACAAGGGCAGTCAGTTGACCAAGAGAGGTGGCAAGGACACAGCACCCACTTAAAGGCAAAGAAAACCATGAGGACCCCCAATAAAGAATGAATGGGGAGTGGAGTGTGAGCAGCTGTTTGCAAATGTTAAGTGTCTTTTCTAAATGTTTCTCTTTCCTGTTTTTTCAATAAAAGTGAAAAGACAGTCTGCTTTTTTTGTAATCCTTAATGGGAAAAAGATGGGCAATTAATAATAACATTTATATAGCACATACTATGTTCCAGGCACTCTGCTAAGCTTTTTATAATGATCTCCTTTGATCCTCACAACAAGCCTGTGAGGTGGGTGCTATTATTAGCCCCCTTTTTTTACAGATGAGGAAACTGAGGCAAACAGGTAGATTGACTTGCCCAGGGTCACACAGCTACTAAGTGTCTGAGGCCAAATTTCAGCTCCATTCTCCCTAACTCCAGGACTCTATCCACTCAGCCATCTAGTTGTCCAAATTAGAATTAGATCACATTAGAACTAGAATCCTTCTCGGTGTGACTCCCTTAGTTCTGGAGAGGAAAAGAGTGTGAATGAAGGTAAGGAAGCTTTCATTCCATCCTCCCCACGTACACACCCACCTTGGATAGAGAGCTGAACATGGAATTAGGTGGCTCTTGGTTCAAATCCTGCCTCTGACCCCGACTAGCTTGGTGCCCATGGGCAAGTCACTTTTTACTACTCAGAGCCTCAGTTTCTTCATCTGTAAAATAAGAAATCCTTAGACTATCTGCCTCTTAGGATTACTGCAAGAAAATTTCTTTCTACAAAGCAGTAACCATGAAAAAAGAAAAAGCTGGTATCAGCTGAGAAACAGAGGGCTGGGTTCAGCAGAATAGGTTAGTAAATGAACAGATTAATACAATTGCAATTAGCAAATTACCAGTACTAGTAAATGACCAAATCCAGTAGGAAATGACCATAGGAATCTAATGTTTGATAAACCCAAAGATTCAAGCTTTGGGGGGAACTTTAACAAAAGTTGCTAGGAAAATTGGAAAGCAGTTTGGCAGAAAGTAGGCATAGAGATAGAGCAACATTTCACACTGTATACCAAGACAAATTCAAAATGGGTAAATGCTTCTGATGTAAAGGATGATATAAGTAAATTAGGGGAACATTGAAAACGTACCTGGCAGTTATATGAAAAAGGAAAGAGTTTATGACTAAATGTTATATGGGAAGTAAAATGGATAATTTTGATTACATGAAATTAAAAAGCTTTTGTACAAACAAAACCAATGTAGCCAAAATTAGAAGGAAAACAGGAAACTGGGGGAAAATTTTTACAGCAAATGTCTTTGATAAAGGCCCCATTACTCAAATGCACAACATTTATAAAAATTTATAAAAACATGAGCCATTCCTCAATTGATAAATAGTCAAAGAAATCAAAACTATCTATAGCCATATTTAAAAATGCTCTAAATCATTACTGATCAGAGAAATGCAAATTAAAACGACTCTGAGATACCACTTCACATCTATCAGAATGGCTAATTTGACAGAAAAGGAAAGTGACTTGTCAGAGGAGGGGATGTGGGAAAATTAGGACACTAACGCACGGCTGGTGGAGCTGTGAACTGGTCCAACCATTCTGGAGAACAATTTGGAACTATGCCTGAAGGGCTATAAAACTGTGCATACCCTCTGACCCAGCAATACCACTATTAGGTCTATATCCCAAAGAGATCAAAGAGCAGGGAAAAGGACCTATGTGTACAAAAAGATTTATAGTGGCTCTTTTTGTGGTGGCAAAGAATTGGACATTGAGAGGATGCCATCCATTGGGGAATGGCTGAGCAAGTTGTGGTATATGATTGTAATGGGGTATTGTGTTATAAGATATAATTAGCAGGATGCTCTCAGAAAAAAACCGAGGTTTACATGAACTGATGCAAAGTGAAGTGAGCAGAAACAGCAGCGCGTTGTACACAGCAACAGTAACGACTGACTGTGAAGTATTTACCTACTTTGATCAGGATAATGATCCCAGACAATTCCAAAAGACCCGGGATGAAAGATTCTATCCACCTCCAGAGAGAAACCTAATGAATTTTGAGTACAGACTGAAGCAGACTTCCTCTACTTCCTTTTTTGGGTGTGTGTGTGTGTGTGTGTGTGTGTGTGTGTGTGTGTGTGTTTTCTTTTGCAACATGGCTAATACGGAAACATGTTTTGCATTACTTCTCATATATAGAATATACATAACAGAAATATGGAATTCACATAACAGAAATCCTACTGCTTGCCTTCTTAAGGGATAGGGGAGGGACAAAAGGAAGGGAGAGAATTTAGAACTCAACGTTTTGAAAAATGAATGTCAAATTTTTACATGCAACTGGGAAATATTTAAAGATACACACACATATATATGCATATGTGTGTATGTGTTTCCATTTCTGACCTATTCTAGTTTACCCCTTCTTCGGTATCTGGTAAATTTCCCTAACCCGCCTACCTGGGAGGTAGGGCTGGTGCTCATCTTATTGGTACAGAGCTTAGTGAAGATACCCGTAACCCTATTGCAGTTCAGAACTCCTGAGCCCCAGCAATCCACTAGCCTCATCCTCCCCTGAGTAGCAGAGATGACAGGAATACGTCACTATGACCAGCTCTTTGTAAATCTCGAAGCACTATTGGTGTGTGGATTATTATTACTATTCACATACCATTTTGTTTTGGAGGAATAAAAGGTCAAGAATTAAGACAAATAATGAAAAATAATAGCTTTGAAGGGAACTAAGTATTATTTTTCAATTAGAAAGCAATAATCAAAACTCTTAGGTATTAATTAAAAATAGAAAAGATCAATAGAACAGAGTAGATAAACAAAGCATAATAGTAGCACAATGTTTAATAAATTCAAGAGTACAAAATAATGGAGAAAGAACTCTCTACTTAATAAAAAATGCCAGGAAAACTGGAAAGTGCTTTGACAAAAAAGAGAGAGAGAGAGAGAGGGAGGGAGAGAGAGAGAGAGAGGTTTAGACCAGCGTGTTTACCACATTTGACAAAAAACTCCAGATACAGATGTGATTAGAATCTTAAAAGGTTATTTTTTGAATGAAGAAAATGGAAGAATCCATCTTTCTTAAAATTAATTTATTTTAAACTTAAATACCAAAACTTAAATGCACAATAAAAAAAGAAAAAGAAACATAAACTTAAATACTAATACTTAAATAGAAAATAAGAACACAAAAAAAGCATTGCCATGCATGCAGCAGAACATAAGAGAGGATTCAAATTACACAACGATAAATTTCCATGTCAAGAAAGCCTGCATAATAAATACTGCACATTGTGTTCCGGGCTGTCCATCTTCCTTGTAAGTTTTCTATTGTTCTCTGCTGTGTACTTTTCACTTTGTTCTGTTTTTTCTCTCTTCCTCACCAACCCCTCCATGAAGGCTACAGTTAAGTGTGGATATATTTATGTGTGTATGTATGTATATGTATACATATGTACACACACATATATGCACGAACATACACACATAAACATACATACACACATATATAAACATACACTTAGCTATCTGTAATCATACTCATGTGTAGATATATACATATATGCATCTATGTAAGACTGTACTACACTTGTTTGTCCTCTGTTTCTCTGAGAGTGCATAACGTCTCCTTTCATATGTCCAAGTCTTTCCCTATTTTTCGAAGTCCACCAGCTCATCGTTTCCCATACCATAGCAATATTCCAACCGCATGCTGTCTAGATATTTTAAGTAGTCTAAAGCAATATTGATTAATATGGCTGACATACAGTATAGTTTCCCTATTTTTCTCTTCTGATTAAATCTATTTTAGCTTTAGCTTTGAGATCGTGATGACTACCCCTGCTTTTTTTTCCTAATAAATTCTATTCCTGATTCCACCTTCCCAGGATTTCTCCTTCCTTTAGCTGTGACTCTAGAGCCTAGCAAATCTTTGGGACCAGTGGTGTCTCATACACATATTTCTATGTGTCCTTCTTTCTCAATAGGCTTTTATGTTTGTGATCATTTGAACTTCAGAGCTTATTCAAAGGAGGAAGGCCAGTCATGGCGCAAGAGCAAGGGATAAACATATGGACGGCCCGAGAGCAGCATCGGTACCAGGAAATACAGAAAATACCTCAAGGAAAACAGTATGGGGCGCTGGAAAGAGTACTGATTCCCGAGTCCACAGAACCAGAGTTAAATCTTATTGCCTGTGTGAACTTGGAAAAGAAACAACCTCCCCAGGTCTCAGCTTTCTCATCTGAAAATGGAGGGGATCAAATCAGATGGCCTCTGGAGTCCCTTCTACCTCCAGTGCTGTGATCACAGACCCCCTGGAGTAGTAGGAATTCTATACTTGCCAGTAGGAAGGTAGGTTTAATATAATGGGGCAAGAAGAGGGCGGGGAGAGAATCACTTGCTCACTTTCCCAGGTTTCCTGTAGGGGGGGTGTATAAGCCAAAAGAGGGGAGAAAACCCCCGTACCAGGGTCATCTACATGTTTACATTCCCACCGATGGATTGTAAACTCCTTTGGAACAGAGACTATTATTATTTCCTCTTCAGCTTCATCCTTTGCTAGGCTGGATGCCTGACTCGTCACAGGACTTTTCCTTCTCTGCCAGAGAACCTTCTTCATCCTAAAAGATCACCCTGGATTCCTTCCCACAATGGAAGCACCTTCTGCCCCTTCATCCTCCCCATTGGATTGGCTGGTTCTTCCCAGAACCTCCACTTAAAGGAGGCTGCCCAGACCAACCCATGCCTTCATTTCTCTTGAAACTGACTCTGACTCTGCAGATGCCCGTTGCTCGAAATGCTTTCAAATCTCTGCCTCAGTGTCCTCTTTTCTGCTTTCCTTGACGTGTTGTCTTCACACAATACAATGTAAGCTCCTTGAGGGCAGAGACTAAGGGACACAATGGATAAAGCACTGTCCCAGGAGTGAGAGAGAGACCTGAGTTCAGATCTTCTCAGTTACTTCTCACTTACTAGCTATGTAACCCTTCACCTTTACCTCAGTTTCCTCATTTGTAAAACAGGAATAATAATAGGGACCTACCTCCCAGGGTTCTTGTGAGATCACATGAGATAATATTTGCATAGCACTTAGCCTGGCAAGTAGTAGGTGTAGTGTTTGTTGACTTGACTCAAAACCAGAAGCCACAAGCTTCTCATACAATGTAGTAGGGATCTTAATCTATGCTCCCCAGACAGATTTCAGGCGGTTGGTGAACTTGGATGGGGAAAAATAATTACAGCTTTATATTCACTAACCTTTGATTTCCTATGGAATCATATATTTTATTTTATGCATTTGAAAACAAACATTTTTCTGACAAAGGGTTTTAATTTCCTATTTAATCCTACATATTTTAGTTTATTTATGTTGATTTGTTATGTTATGCATGTATGTTGATTTGAGGTAGAGACTGTCCATTCATATAGGTGAAGCGATATGGGCAGGGAAAATCTCAGTGAGTGGCAGGTTGCTAATAATGAAGGAAAAGGGAGGTAGACTTTGGGTTTTCACTACATACATAAGCATTTAATAAGGGGTTCAGACTCAGGAAGTTCATTGTTCCAGTAAACACACACTGGAGGCAGTGAGGGAGACCCAGAGCAGGTGAGGGAAAACAGAGCAGCTAGCAGTGATAGAACACAGTGAGTATTTGATGTAACTATGGTTTCTGTGCATGATCCAAGGAAATGGTAGTGAAGAAGAAGATGATGTGTGTGTGTGGGGGGGGGGTCATGGCAAAGTTGATGCCTCATCCTCTCCCATAGTAGATTAGGCTCCAGGGGAACTCAAAGAGAGATCTTTTGGGTACCTATTGGACATTTCCTGGGGTCTGGTAAAGTAAATTAGTTTGTGGAACCAAGGCATTAAATAAGGCAAATGCAGAAGGGAGTGAATTGTGGCCAAAGATTGCCTAGAAGCCAGACCTAGTTTCTAGGTCTGTCTGTCTCTTACTATCTGTGTACCCTTAGCCATGTCAGTTTCTCTCTGTGGTCCTCTGTTTCCTCCATTATATAATGAGGGGTTGGGACTAACTGATCTCTCAGCTTGACAATTCTAGCTTGTTCAATTATTCTTGCAAACTAGGCTTAGAAGGACAGCTAAATTCAGCACCCTTTCAATTCAGCATCTTGGGGCATAACCCCATCACCTGGTCAGGTTACAGATCTTTGAGAACCTCACAAATCTTTCTGTAGTTTGGAAAGAAAGAGCTTGATTTTCTGAAAGGTATTCATTGAACAAGGATGTAGAAAAACTAATCATTTAGGCAGACCTCAAATCCCAGGACCATAACGAATATGATGAAAAACAATCTAGCAAGATCTAATTAATTTTTTTTTAAATCCTCTTTGACTTGGGTAGAACTTGGTTGAAGTATTTTTGCAAATCAGGAAACTGAGGATCAAGAGAGGTTAGATGAATTGCCCATGCTCAAAACAGCAAGTAAAGGTCAGGAGTGAAATTTGGACCCAGTGCTTTCCAAACTCCACATACCAGTTCTCTTGCCTTTATATTGTACTGGCTAGCCATTATTACAGAAAAAAAAAAAATTCTATTGAAAGCTCTCATTTGCCTTGCTTTGACGTCATGCAAATCATTTAACTTATGAAGGCTCTGCTAATGAAGTGAGGACTCTAAATGAGGAATATTTTTTCCTTTCCTAATGGTACAAAAGACTCCACAGCCAGGCTAGGGCTTCCAATTCCATTTGGATTGAAAAAAGGAGAGGATAAGGGTCACTGGGAACAATTCTTTTTTGTTTTCTCATTAAGCCTTCCTCTTCCTGATCACTCAGCTTCTCTCCTATGCAAGGAAATATTGACACTTGACAGCTTCTCCAGCGGCCTCTCGTTTCATTGTGAGTTAAGTTTTGTTTTCCTGGTTCTTTAGTTGACTAGTCCCGTTCCACCTTCACAGAAGACAAAGTTTACTCAGTATGTCATTGCTTCAGGAGTAGGATGGAAAGAAATGCCCAGGGCTGACTAGGTCTATCCGTGATTCACAGAAAGGACATGAAATCAGTCAGTTCTGGCCTACAGGCTGATAGCTCTTAGGACGATAAGGAAACAGAACAAAGATGGAGAGCCAGAAAGGACCTCAAAAGTCATCTGGTTGAATCTTCTCGTTTTACAGAAAAGGAAACAAATCCAGGGAAGTTCAGAAACTTACCCAGTCAGATAAATAGTAGTTGTATACATCAGAAGTGGGATTTAAACTTCTCTAGTCAAGTTGGGATTTGCTTTGAAAACTTCTATCTAGTTAGAAAGCATGGTCTCAGAAGCATAGAATATCAGAGCTGGAAGACAACTTGGTAGCCTTCCAGTCCAAACCATACCCAAAAGGAATTACCACTACAACATACCCTTACTCAAGCACATCCTGTGACTCCCTATTGCCTCTAAGATCATTGTTTAGCTTTTAAAGTTCTACACAACCTAAGCCCAACCTCCCTTTCCATCTTCACTGGAAATTACTCACCCTCCCTTACTGGGCTCCCCTCTGTCCCTCAAAGGACTAACTCTATCTCCTATCTCCCATGCCTTAAATGCACTTCATCCTTACCTCCGCCTCATAGAGTTCTTCTTTTCCTTTAAAATGCAGCTTAAGCAGCATCTTCTGCATGAAACTTTTCCTAACACCTCCCCCTCCCCCCATCTTGGAACACTTTGTATTTAATTGCTTTATATATGTAGGTAGCAATATATGAATGTATTTCTTCTCTTTGCAATTATACTGTATCTATTTTTATATGCCCTGGCTGTCTCCCCCATTAGGATATAATATATGCACAACTCCATAACAAATTTTAGTTATCATCTAATCACAGAATTGTACATACAGGTCAAATACTTTTTAAATTGATGACCCATTTCACTTTCCATGAGCAAAATGATCTTTGCTGTATGTTTCTAGAATTCAGTTCGATGACTTCATCAGGCCCTGAACTGAACACCGTGGTTGTGGTACCTCCTAAAGCTGTCTGTCCTCTGCCACCTCCTGTACCTCCGTACCTGGTAACCAAGCTCAAGTTCATCTGTATCCTGGGTACCAAATCCAGATGATCCCACCCTATGAGTATGAACATATGGCACAGAAGATCTGGAAAGAAGGCAAAGTATTACGCGTAAGTTGAATTTCTTTCTGAATATCAGTGAATACATTAGTCATTTTTATTGTTGTTCAGTTGTTTTAGTGATGTTTAACTCTTCATGACCCCATTTGGGTTTTCTTGGCAAAGACCTAGTAGTTTACTACTTCCTTCTCCAGGTCATTTTACAGATGAGGAACTTGGGCAGAGTGAAGTGACTTGCCCAGGGTCACGCAGTTAGTGTCTGAGGCCAGAATTGAACTCAGAAAAATGAGTCTTCCTGACTTCAGGCATGGTGCCATATGCACTATGGCGCCACCTAGCAGCCCATCAATGACTACACACTGTTGATCATTTGGGGGCATGGAAAAAACAGGCACATAGGTCAGTTGGTTTCAGACCTACTGATGATGGGCAGATCACCTGGGAACATAAGAGTGAGAGAATTATCATTCATATGACACAAGCTGTGTGAGCTGCTTGCCACAGCTGGTTGGATAGGCACGTGCCTGCCGGCAGGACCACTTCATCAACCAGCAGGAGAAGGAATAGCAGAATACCATAATCTCAGAGTTGGAAGTGTGAGAGTCAGGTAAAGGTTAAATTTCCACAGAGAAAGAGAATAATGCAGAGATTTAAAAAGCAACAGCTCCAGGAAGTAGTGCATTGTAGGTGGGCTCGAGCTTAGCCAATAAAAAGTAAGTTGATGGTTCCAAAAAGACCCCAAAATCAAGATAAGGGTCGAGTTAGGGTCAACCTGAGGACACCTGAAAATGTTAGTGCGCCTGCTTAATGAACTTCATTACTATTATCTGACACACCCCGCATAAAATTAGAGCCTCATTAACGAGTCATGGGACGTATGACCAAGGGAGGGGAAACATACTTGAGCATATCAAGGGGAAACATGTAAGGAAAAGTGTAACCTGGGAAGGGTTGGACCAATCCAGGCCTGGGAGGTTTTGCCCCGAATTTAACTCCATAAAAGCACACTTTCCCTTGCACTCAGGGCCCACCCCTCCTGAAGAGGGGTGGAGCCTGCTTCTGGCCAGAAACGTTTACATCCTCTGGACTTCCTCTGTAATAAACTTTCTTGATACTAAATTTTTGGGGTCAAGCATATTTCTAACAGAAGGGACCACCCAAACCAGCTGGTGGAGCCCAGACCTGATGAGAAGTCTCTCTATGGCACTCCCAAGAATAAGTCTTCCAGCCTTTGCTTGAAAAACTCCACTGAGGGAGAATTACTCCCCATATCCTAAGGCCAATGTGGATTACAAACCAAATACAACTTCCTCCATCTTGGTGAACTGCGCACAGTTCCCTCTATCTTGTGTAAAGCTTTAGCTCACCAATCAGAGACCCTCCTGGCCAAACTCCCCACCCCATGGTCCCTCCACAAGAACACCCTCTTATAATACCAGCTGTTCCGGGAGACTGCAAAGGTTCCCTGATTCCAGAAACCAGCCCGACTACTTAAGTCAAGTGTATCTTATTTAATCAGCCAGCTTTTGCAACATCCTCTCTCAAACCACTTTTGCCTGAAGCTTTCCCTTTCTTTGTTATTTAAGCATCTAAAAGCCCCATGTAAACTCACCTTGGAGAGCCTTTGCCAGTGAAGATGGAGCTCCCTTGATGGCTAACTTAATAAACTCCAAGAAAATTCTGTCCAAATTCTGTACAATTCTGTCCAAGAAAACTCTGATACTCGTTGGGGCCTCATTATTTTTGTGTCCTCTACACAGCCCATTTTTCTTTTCCTCTAACTATGAGAAAGTCTTTCCTTCCATCAGGCCAACATCTGCCTCTGAAATTTCCTCTCACTGATCCTAGTTCAGCACCTTGGAGCTGTCCATGGGATAGCAACCTTAGCAGAAAAGCCCGCAGGGCCCTCCAAAGACCAGTTGCTCTCTCCTTGCAGTTGACTGATTTGCGGGCTTCTTCAAGGAAGTAACACTGAGGCTGTAGCTGTGGGACCCTTTGTTATACCAGCTTCATTGTGGGGTATTTGACAATAATCAGTTTCAGTGCTATTATGCTCATTTTATGGATGAGAAAACTAATAGTGAAGAAGGTTAAGTGATTCTCCCAGGGCCACACAACTAGTCAGTTTTTAAGATAGGATTTGAGCCCAGGTCTCTCCTGACTCCAAATCCAGGTCTTCTTTTACTATAAATCTAACTGCCTCCTCTCGTAATCACCTACCATTTTTCTATCTTGCACAGATCAGGAAATTCATTCTGTGACCCAGACAGAATTTTCTTTTCAGGCTTGTAATTCAGGGCAAAACCCAGGGACATACAGGAGAAACTGGAGCTGACCAGAAGGGGTAGAAACCTATAGGTTTCACTTCTGCTTCCTGAGAGGCAGGTGAGTCAACCTCAATCCTGCACTCTCCCTCACCATCCATATCCAATTAGTTTTCAAGTCTTGTAAGCTTCACCTCCACATTTCTCAGCTCCACCCCCCTTCTTTCTCATCAGAAGACCACTACCCTATCAGCCCCCGTCTTGTTGCAACAGCCTCTTAATCAGTGTGTCTGTCTGCAATTTCAGCCCAGTTCAATCTATCATTCATATAACTATTGATATTCCTGAAGTGAAGGTCTAGCCGCATCACTTCTTCGCTCAATAAACCCCTAGGATCAAATACAGACTGCTCTGTTTGGCATTTAGAGCCTTTCATGTGCCATTCCAGACTGGTTAGGGAGTAATGTACTGCACAGACCACGCAGATTGGACTTCTTGCTGTTCCTCATGCATGCAACTCAACGTCCTATCTTCATTAGCGCAGGCTGTCTCTAAGCCTGGAATGCGCTCTCTTCTCAACTCCACCTCTAAGAAGCTTTAATTTTGATCAAAGCTCAGCCCAAGCTCTGCCTCCTATGTCATTTCCTAGTCTTCCCAGCTTCTAATGGCTCATTCACAAAATTTCCTGACATTTCTTTTTAAAAGTTTGTGTATGCTCATATACACACACGTTATCTCTGTCTGTAGAAGATGAGCTCCTTCGTGACAAAGATTGTCTAATTTGTACCTTTGTATCCCCAGTGCCTGGCAGAGTCCCCAGCACACGACAGATTCCTAACGAATGCTTCCTGATCGATTGTTTGAGGAAAAGGTGTTTAACAGGAAAGTGGCAATATTCAATTTGTTGTTGTTTCGTTATTGAGTCATTCAGTTCAACTCTTCCCGACCTTGAGGACTATAGCACACCAGGCCTTTCTGCCCTCCCTTATCTCCCAAATTCAGATTCATTGTTTCCATGACACTATCTACCCATCTTATCCTCTGCCCTCCCCTTTTTCTTTTGTCTTTAATCTTTCCCAGCATCAGGGTCTTTTCCAGTGAGTCCTATTTTCTAATCCTGTGGCCAAAGTACTTAAGCATCAGCTTCAGTATTTGACCTTCCAATGAATAGCCTGGTTGGATCAGTTCACAACTCCACCAACAATGTATTAGTGTTCCAATTTTCCCACATCTTCCCCAACATTTATCATTTTCCTGTTTTGTCATGTTGGCCAATCTGATAGATGTGATGTGGTACCTCAGAGTTGTTTTTGTCTTTTATCATGCCCATTTTTGCATGAAATGTTTCTTTGATATCTCTGATTTTCTTGAAGAGATCTCTTGTCTTTCTCATTCTGTTGTTTTCTTTTATTTCTTTGCATTGCTCATTTAAGAAAACCTTCTTATCTCTCCTTGCTGTTCTCTGGAATTCTGCATTCAGTTGGGTATATCTTTCCCATCTTCCTTTACCTTTTGCTTTCCTTCTTTCCTCAGCTATTTGTAAAGCCTCATCAGACAGCCATTTGCTTTCTCACTCTTCTTTTTCTTTGGAATTTTTTTGTTGCTGCCTCCTGTACAATATTGTGAAGCTCTGTCCATGTTTCTTCAGGCTCTTTATCCACAGATCTAATCCTTTAAATCTATTTAGCACCTCCACTTCATATTCATAAGGGATGTTACTTGGGTCATACCTATATGGTCCAATCATTGAGGTTTAGAGTTGGGAGAGGTGGTTCAGATGTGAAAGAATTCACTTAGACCTTCTCTGTAACCACTGAGAGCTTTATTAACACAAAAGCATTGGGCTAGCCCTGGAAAGAAGACTAGCAACTTACAGAGGGATAGGGGACTGTTTTGTCTTACAAGATAAGGGAGAATTGTCATGATACAGGATGAGGAAGATGAATGAGAGGATAGGGGACCCAGGATAAGGAAGACAGGGGAAATTTTATGACTCAGGATGAGGGAGACAAGGAATATTTATGATTCAGGATGGGGGGAAGTGTTATGGTATCTCAAGGTAAGGGGAAGAGGCTCTAGGATGCCCTCGAGTTCAGGAGGGGCCTCACAGGGTACTGGAAAACAACCTTAATTAATTTCTTTTTTCAGCTTTTAGGGCACTGTTTGCATTTACATCATGGTGGTTTTCCCTACTTTCTTCAATTTAAGCCTGAATTTTGCAATAAGAAGCTCATGATCTGAAACACAGTAAGCTCCAGGTCTTGTTTTAACTGACTGTATAAAGCAGGGGTGAGGAGCCTGCAGTCTCAAGACCACATGTGGCCCTCTAGGTCCTCAAGTGCAGCTCTTTTACTGAATCCAAACTTCACAGAACAAACTCCTTACTAAAAGCATTTGTTCTCTGAAGTTTGGATTCAAATCAAAGGGCCACACTTTTGCTATGACTAGAAAGTTATCTTGACAGAACTCTGTTGGTCTCTGCCCTGCTTCATTTTGTACACAAAGGCCAAACTTGCCTGTCATTCCAGTTATCTTCCGATTTCCTATTTTAGCATTCCAATCCCCTATGATGAATGCATCAGTGGTTAGAGCATAGACTTGCATTACCATGATGCTGAACAGTTTGCCTTGGATTGGAACAGAAGTCATTCTGTCATTTTGGAGAGTATTCCCCAGTACTGCTTATCTCACTGTTTTATTGACTATGAGGACTACTCCACTTCTTTTAAGGGATTCTTGCCCTTAGCAGTAGATGTAGCAATCAGCTGAATTAAATTCACCAATTCCCAACTATTTACATTCACTGACCCCCAAAATGTTGATGTTTAATCTTTCCATTCCATCCAGCTTGGTTCAAGTTCCTGTCCAATGTTGACCTTTACAGCAACGGACTTTCCTTTCATCACCAGGCATACCCACAGCTCTGCTCCCTTTCAACTTCAGCCAGGCTGCTTCATTAGTACTGGAGCTACTTATAGTTATCCTCTGCTCTTTCCTAGTAGTGTATGTGATGTCTTCTGACCTGAGGGACTCATCTTCTGATGTCATCTCTTTTATCATTTTAGTACTGTCCTTGGGATTTTGTTGACAAAGATACTGGAGCAGTTTGCCATTTTGTCACTTTTTGTCGGAACTCTCCACTATGACCTGGCTGTCTTGGGTAACCCCGAAATCCATAGGTCATACTTTCATTAAGCTACCCAAGCCCCTCCACCAAAACAAGGCAGTGATCCAGCGGGGGGCAATGAACATTTATTAAGTGCCTATTATGTACCAGGCACTGTGCTAAGTGCTGAGGATACAAATAAGAAAAAGAATCTTCTGCCCTCAAGGAGCTTACAATCTAATGGGAGAAGACCACACACAAAAGGACACAGGAAAGCAAGGGGGGACACTTGGCATGGGGGCATCTTGTTCCATGGAGTTAAAGCCAAGCAGAAAAGCAGATGTAAAGTGGAAGGAGCTGAAAATGCAATGTCTACCTCCTATAAAGGAAGGCTTTGGGAGGAGTTGGATACTGCATCCTCCAGCTCTAGGGTCTGAGGAGAGAAGAGGTTGAGGGAGATGGCGCCAATGCTTGAGTTCACAGCATCATGATGAGATTAGAAGTGAGGAGCTTGTCTTGGGAGGGGCAGCTTGTTCCACCGAGTAGAAACCAGACAGAATAGCAGATGCAAACTAGAAATATGGGGCTGGAGTCCTGGAGAGAATTAAGACTGAATATATGCTTAATTAATGTTTGTTAAATTGGTGTAGTTTCTATTAATGGATCCCAAGAAAGGAATGCCTCCTTTCAGAGACAAAGAGACTAAAAAGAATGAAAGGTGTTACAAAGTGGTGCTTAAGCACACCCAAACTCCTTCAAATAAACCCTCATTAAAAGTCAATGGGAAAGGTGGGACTTGAAGAACACAAGAGTTCAGATTCCTTCCTCTGCAAAACTTTATGTTCTTTGAAAATGGTGGCAAATGGTTTGGGGGGAGGGGGGAAGAGCATCCAAGACCCAAAAGATGAAATTCATCTGAATGAAATCTGTTTTAACTGTGTTCTCCCCTGACAGGCCATCCAGATAGTGATTGGACTGATGCACATTGGCTTTGGGGGTTGTCCTACTGACTACGATGTTTTGGGGATATACCTCAATCTCTTTTGTGGGAGGGTATCCCTTCTGGGGAGGAATTTCAGTAAGTAGATTGCTATTAACTATTATTATTGATATTAACAAATATCAACAAATTCAAAACATTCTTGTAAATAAAATCATTTTCATATGCAAGAATTGTGTGCTAATAGACCCCTACAAAAAGCTGGATAGCACAGAAAAAGTTAAGAAGGGCAAGAACGGAGGGAGGATTCCAGTCAGGTCCTAGGCTATGTAACAATGAAGGAAGCATTTAAGGAGGCAGAACTATCTGTGTATCCTCAAGGCCAGCACAGTGCCCTGCACAGCACAGGTATTCAATAAATGTTTGTTGAATGGATTTGAATTCCTCTCTCATCTCACTGCCCATCCTTCCATCTTCAGCACTCTCTTTGTCTCTGTCTCTGTCTCTCCTCCACTTCTTTCCTTCCCTTTTCCCATCTTTAACCTTTCCTCTTCTTATTGTCATACAATAAAATTTCATTCCACACACATTCTGAAGCACTTAGCACTGCTGGAGATGCTGGCGATACAGAGATAAAATAGAACGCAGAGTGTGCCCTCAGGGCTCCCACATTCCAGAGATTCCCCACCCCAAGCTTCCATTCAGCCTCTTCCAGCCAAGCTCACACTTGGGCCCTCAATCTATGTGCTCCTACCTCTCTCTCTCCTCGTGTAACTCCTCAAACCTCCCAGTCAAGGTCCAGCCACACTGGTCCTAATTGTCAGTGCCACCAATCTCAACCTTAGTGGAAAGGGCACCGGGAATAAATGGGAACAACACATGGAGTAGGGGTAAAGAGCTGGGTCATGGGTTAATAGACTTGGAGCTGGAAGGATTTAGTCTTATGGGGAAACTGAGACCCAGTGAGGCTTACCCAGGTAGTAATGTAATGCAGAACATTATTTTACCATTTAGGTAGTAGAACCCTTTAGGCCATGGAAACCTCCAAATTCCTTAGCAAGACCCTTATCTGGTTGCTCAGGCCACAGCCCTCAGATCATATCTCTGGAAGCCTCCATTATGAGAAAGTTTGCAGATCATTATCATATCTAGATAAAGGGAAAGCAGTGTCCTTGACCAGCTCAAAAAAAAAAAAACTTTCTCTTGCCTGACTTCTAAGATCCATCCCCCTCCCTGTCCTATATACTCCCTATATAAACCCTGGCTCGACCCCTGATGGGTGCTGCTTGATTTGGATATGAATATCCCTGGCAGCCACGCGCTAATATAATAAAGTCCACAATTTAAAATTAGCCTGGGTGGTCAACTCGCTAATTTCTCGGTATAACAGTAAGTGATAGATTCCGAGATCTTCTGACTCCTGAGACAGTCTTTTAGCCCTTAGTCAGGGAGGAGGACACAGCTGAAGAGAAGAGGAGCAGTGAGTAGCTGGAGAGGCTACCCGGTATCTACGGGAACATCTGGATAAAAAGGAACAAGAAGCCAGTCATTCCTCCAGATGTTTCCAAATACCCCGAGGCAGACAAAATATGAGCTAAAATACCATCCCCCCTTCAGGTAGGTGTTTTGGGGCCAGGTAGGCACAAATCTGACTCCCCATGCCATGGTAGGGTCAGGATATGCAAGGAGTAGCCAGGGAGGGATACTTAGGCAGTAAAGTCGCCTACCTTCTCTGTGGCAGCTAAGTGGCACCGCGGTGCACAGAGTGCTGAACCTGAAGTCAAGAAGACTCATCTTCCTGAGTTCAAATACAGACTCAGACACTAGCTGTGTGACCCTGGGCAAGTCACTTCACCCTGTTTGCCTCTGTTTCCTCATCTGTAAATAATGAGCTGGAGGAGGAAATGGCAAACGAATATCTTCGCCAAGAAAACCCCAAATGGGGTCACAAAGAGTCAGACATGACTGAGAAACAACTGAACAACAGTGGACTGGAACGTGGTGGGGGGCAATATTTATTGAAGGAGCAGTTAGTCCATCTTTCTTGGTCCTACATGCTAGGGAACTGGGATCATTTCAACTGTGCGTCTTCGTAGGAGGGTGAAAAGAAAAGATGATCAGAGAAAGGATTATAATAGAGATGACCGACCCCTGCCCCTCCAGTCCTGTACCAGCAGACCCACTCTCTGGCCTCTTGCTAACACACCCTCTTTCTTTCATGCCAGTTTATCGTTTCTGGATCCCTTTCTGTGTCAGCCCAGAAGGCACCAGGCACTCACTGCAAAGTAAGTAGGACCAAACACACCCACACACTCACACACAAACACAGTTACTGCACTTCTTCCCTCCATACCAATTCCCCTTTGCCATGACCGTCCTTGTATCTTTCTCAGATCAGCGGAAGCCTGGGAATGCGTACTGTCAGCGCCATCTTCTCAGCTGTGGGAATCATCCTTTTTATCACAGATCTAAGTATCTACTGGGGAAACTCTCTGTACCGTGATCCTCACACCACCATGGTAAGCCCTACTAAGAAGGGGTGGTGAGTGTCAAGATTTTCCTGAGCCCCTCCAGCCTCAGCTGGAACGAATGGTCCTTCTGTCCCTCAGGACGAATGGTTCCCTCGCATCATTGCCCCACAGTGAACTAGCACATGACAGGAGTGATTTCTGAACCGTTTCTTTTCCAAAAATTTGAATTAAGTCACTGAATAGCTTCCAAATCATACTATTCAGGGTGTTACTTGACTCCCCCAGCCACATTCTCCTATTGTGACCTCCTGTGTTCTCTCTTCTAGCTGGATTTAAAATAACAGAATGTCTAAGGGAAGGGCCTTTAGAACAAAGAGTACTGGGGCAGGTAGGTGGCAAAGTGGATAGAGCACTGGCCTGGAGTCAGGACCTGAGTTCAAATCCGGCCTCAGACACTTAACACTATGTGACCCTAGGCAAGTCACTTAACCCCACTGTCTAGCCAAAAAAAAAAATAGAACAAAGAGCATTGAATATTGGAGCTGGGAAGGGTCTTAGAAGAGAAGATGGCAGAGCTGGAAGGGGCCTTAGAACAGAGATGGTCAGAGCTGGGAGAGGCCTTCAGAATAGGGGATGTCAGAACTGGGAGGGATCTGATCTTCCAAGTCATCTAGTCCAATTCCCTCTGTTTTGTAGATGGCAACATTGTGTCCCAGGAGGGGTGACTTATCCAAGCTGACATGGCTGGCCAGTAGCCAAGCCACAGGGACAGCCAAGGTGTGTCATCTGCCTCCCATCTAAGACACAGCGCCCTGCTCTAAGGCTGCTTCGTATTTACCCGGAGACAGGAGGTTTTCTGTTGCTGATTCTGTTGGGGAGCAGTGGAGAGGCCTGATCCCAAAGGAGCTCTGGACCACCAGCGGGGGCTTCCTCACTGGCCAGCCGTGCCATCCACTCTGGGAAAGGGCCCCATTCAGTGTCAGTTCCCAGGACAGAAGAGCAGGGGGAGAGTGGCCAAGAACCCCCGAAGCCTTCTCTCCCTCCTCAGACTATCTTATAATTTAAGGACCACAGATTTCAATCTTGGAGGAGACTTAGAAGGTGGCCAGCCTGACCCCCTTTTAATAATCACAATATCTAGCATTTCCTCAGCGCCAGGAGATCTGCAAGTGCTTCATAAATGTTCTCATTGGAGCCTCACAACAATCCTGCAAAGTAGCTGCTGTGATGGTGCCCATTTTACAGATGAGGAAACTGAGGTACAGAGAGGTTAAATGACTTGTCCAAGATCACACAGGCAGTATTTGAGGTAGGATTTGAACTCAGATCTCCCTGGCTCCAAATCCAGCATTCCATGCACTGTGCCACCTAACTGCCTCATTTTCCAGAAACTGAGGTCCAGACCAAGGAGGGGGGGACACAGATGGTAAAAGACAGAGCCCAGATTTGATACCCAAGCCCTGTGACTCCAAATCTAGCCCTCTTCCCATTCACTCTACCAGAGGTTCTCAACCTGGGACCCATGAACTTGTTTTTTTTTTTTTGTTTTGGTTTGGTTTTGGTTTTTTTGCTTTTTTGGTGAGGCAGTTGGGGTTAAATGACTTGCCTGGGGTCACACAGCTAGTAAGTGTCAAGTGTCTGAGGCCAGATTTGAATTCAGGTCCTCCCAGTTCCAAGACCAGAGCTCTATCCACTGTACCACCTAGCTGCCCCCCCACGAACTTGTTTTTTAAAATATTCCATTGATCATTAAAATATTTAATTAATAATTAATAGCTTAATTGCAGTATAATTGGTTTCCTTAGTCATCCTGTGTATTTTAAGAATTTAAGGACTTCATCTTTTTTTCTTTTTTTTTTGCAAGGCAATTGGAGTTAAGTGACTTGCCCAGGGTCACACAGCTAGTAAATATCATGTGTCTAAGGCTGGATTTGGACTAAGGTCCTCCTGACCTCTGGGCCGGTGCTCTATCCACTGCACCACCTAGCTCCCCCTAAGACTTGATCTTGAGAAGGGGCCCATGAAATAAAAATGGTGAAGAACTCCTAAACTATACCATCATCTCCTCGATTTACAGATAAAGAAATTGAGGCCCACTAAGATCTGTGTGACCCTGAGCAAGTCCCTCCTTTCTCTGGGCCTCCATTTCCTCATCTATAAAATGAGAAGATTAGACAAGGTGATTTCCAAAGCCTCTTGCAGCTCCAAATTTACAATTCCAGAAAACCGAGGCCCAAAGCCACCAAATCTGGTAACTCTGGAACAGAAGAGAATTCAGTAATATAAGAGAGGTGCAAAGTTCCACTCAACATCTGAGGGAGAAGAGATTATTTCTTAATAATGGGATGTAGGGAGGCTTCCTGAGGAGTGGCGTTGGAACTGGGCCTTGAAAGAGGAGTCATTTTCCAGCAGGTGGAAATGAAGGGGCAAAAGATTCTACCTACACCCAAACAGCCTGCAGATAGAATCCTAGGCTGACTTGCCTCACAGGGCCGTCGGGAGAATCAACGAGCTAAAGGAAGTCCTTGATACCAGCCCTAAAGGGGCTGCTTCAATGTGATCGACCAGTATCACTCAGCTCCAGACAGGACCTCAGACCAGATCAAGCCCAGCTCCTTCGTTTTCTAGTTGAAGAAGCTAAGGTGCACTGACTTTCCCAGGGTCATACAGCTCGTGTGTTACGTGGTTTCTGAACCCACCTAATAGGCCGAATGGCTATTTCTGTCCCTGTATCAACACAGAACAAGGACAGGCTCCCTGGTGTTGCAGCCAGATGATCTGGGCTCCAGGCTCTGTTCAGCCATATACCAGAGATCTGACTGAGTAAGTCGTTTAACCTTTCTGAGACTCAGTTTCCTCCCCAGTACTAGCAGTAGCTAAGATTTCTAGAATGCTTACCATGTGCCCAGCTCTGGGCCAAGAGCTGTGCAATCATCACCTCATTTGCTCCTGAGAACAGCCTTGGGAGGTAGGGGTGCTCCCGGACCCTGGCTGAGCACCCCATCCACTACCCCGTGCCACTCTTCAGAGACGCCCTACTATCCGTAAGCCAGGGGAGAAAAGAGAGAGGCCAGAGAGTGCTGAAGCTTGTCTCTCTGGGGATCAAAATTGCATATGTCGGACCCCTCCAGAGAGGATGCTCCCTCATGTTTTCTGCTTTCAGTCCACCGGAAAAGGGATCTCGGCCATGCTGCTCCTCTTTTCCATCCTGGAGTTTGCCATCACCTGCACATCCTCCCATTCCGGATGCCAAATGGTCTGCTCCCAGACCAACCAGGTGTGTCCCGGGATTCTCTCGGTCTCAGGAGTCAGTGACCTCCTCCTTCTCTTGGTCCAGAGAGCAGCCAAGAGAAGACGGTCCCGGGGAGCGAAGGAGACCACCGATCATCCTTTCTTTTCTCTCTATTTCAGGCGGCTCTAGTTGCACATAGCACACCCAGGAATCACCCCGCCACAAGGAGTCAATCCTCTTTATTCAGATGTGGTCAATGGCCAACAAGAATCCAGCCCAAGGAGGAACCTTGCCTGGGGGAGAAATGGTCCCTCCCCAGCTCTCCTGAATTTCCTTAACCGATTTCCCTCTGTCTTGGTGCTTTGATGGAAGCTGCTCCTTCCCCACGTGCATCCTGGTTGTGGCGCCTCAGTCTGGGCCTTAGACCGAGGGCCAAAGATGAACCACGATGAAATAGATCGGCGGCAGCCCTCCCTCGCTCTGCTCTTCCACTGAGTTCTAGTACAAACCCTCCGTGTCTTATTTCCTCCATGAAAATGAGAAAAATGACTCAATGTGCCTGAAAGTACTTCACTCATTCCCGGCAGGCCTATCCAGGTCTGCACAGTCTGCATGTGCATATATTCCAAGGGTAAGGGATGCTGATCTGAGAACGGTCTCTGGGAAATTTCTTCTTCTTTCATTTTGTTTTGCTTTGGTTTTGGCTCAAAAAAAAAAGCTCACTTATTATACAACTTTTGGTTTGAAAAATAAATTTTGTTGATCTATTTATTCTTATATCACTTCCCAATGTGTTGTTCCCCTCTCTCCCTCTTCCACTGCCTCCCAGAAACCAATTCCTTGTAATAAAGAACAAAAAAGAAGAGAGAAAAACCAATTTCCCTTTGCAGAAGTAGGGGAAGGGGGGATCATGGGTGTGTAACATCACATCAGTTTCTTTTCAACGTATTGATCATTTTTCCTCTCCTCCTTTGTATTTTTTGTTTTAAAAAATTCTTGGTTAATGGGATAACATTATGTGAAGGGAAATTATGGCATTAACGCCAACGCTAAACAAAGTACAGCAACACAACTTCTTTAAAAGAATAGTTTGACAAAACTAACAAACCTATCCAAACAGTCTGATGTGATACATAGCGTTCCACTCCAACAGTCCCCCACCTCTACAAAGAAGGGACGAAGGGCCTTCTTCTGTCTCTTCTTTGGCCGATTTAATTCTCTATCATTCAATTTCACTTGTTCCTTCATTAGCTTGCCAGACATTTATGTTGTAGAAGTCACTGTGTGTGCTTTTCTGGCCCTCCTTTCTTTCCTTCTGTATCAATCCCCACGTCTTTCTACGCTTCTCTGTCCTTATCCTACCCATAGGTTCTGGCAGCACAGTAATATGGCATTACTCTCAAGGACCATAATGTGCTTGGACATGCCCTAGATGCTAGGCATCTGTTCTCTTTCCTGGGAAACATCAGAGGGGCCACCCCTCCTCAAAGGGCAGCAGAGAATCTCACGCGCCAAGTCTCTCCACAGGTTTCTGTTGCCTCAACTTTGCAGCCAGAAAAACTGAGGACGAGGAAAGCTATGCAGCATTTCTGGGCCAAGCCAGGGATGGGACGCTTCCCGTGTGAAATGGCGGAATCTTGAATACCCTTTCCTAGGGTCATCCTATGAATCAAATCCCTTCGTGGTGAAAAAAAAAATCTCAATCTCACATAAAGATATCCAAGAACCAACCAGTGATCTATGAATTTCAAGGCATATTCAATTAAGTAAAAGATCTAAGACAACCAAAGATTATAATACCTTGGTATTTGCTGTAATGGAATCCAACCAGTTAGGTGGTACAGTGGATAGAGTGCTGGGGCCTGCAGTCCAGGAGATTCATTTTCCTGGCCTCAGACACTTGCTAGCTGTGTGACCCTGGGCAAGTCACTTAACCTTGTCTACCTCAGTTTCCCCATCTGCCAAATAGCTGGAGAAGGAAACGACAAAACCCTTCCAGTATCTCAGCCAAGGAAACTCCAAATGGGGCCACAAAGAGTCAGAAATGATTGCACAGCAACAATAGTTTTGGGTCATGTGGGTCATTACCTTCATTTACTGAGCACTTGCGACGCTCAGGATAATGTTCTAGATTCCAGAGTCAAAGAACTGTGCCATATTGCCCTGGCCGTATTCAAGAGTGAAAACAAGCTGGCCCCAACCCACCGTCCCAGCATCGTCTCACACTCCTCTCTCACCTCGATACGTTCCATGCTTCTGCCAAACCAGGCTAACCTGTTCTCTGTATGGTACAGTGGAAAGAGTTCTAGATTTTGGTTCAAGCCTCAGCTCTATCATTTGTTACCTGTGGGACCTTGGGAAGTCAAGTATCCCCTGTTGGATCTCAGGAGAGGGAGAGGGAAGGTGTTGAACTGGAAGGCCTCTGGGGTCCCTTCAAACTCAGTTCCATCATTCTATGAACACAGCCCTCAACCATCCTCCTCAGCACCTTTGCTCCTACTGCTCGCTGTGTGAGGCATAGCATCCTCTATGGCACTCTGGCTCTGATACTTCTCAAGCCTTTAGGTCAGCTGGCTCTACATAATGTAACGTGTTCAGCCTCACGTGCCACCCAACTGCCCCCAGGTGGAGATGATGCTGGTTGGCCTACCTAGCTCCCAGAGACCAGGGAAGCATTTTGTAAACTTGAAGGTCCTATGGGAATGAAAGTTAACAATAACTCCTAGTGTCTGCTGATCTGTGGTTCACAAAGCACTTCACGACATGCAAACTACCTCATGGACTCTTCCCAATAGCCGGGTGAGACGGGTGCTCTTTTCATCCCCATATTACAAATGAGGAAACCAAGTCTGTGAGAGGGCGAGTGACTCCCAGCGTCAAGCAGTGAGTCCACAGCGGAGCTGGGATTCACATCCACACTCACAAGTAGCATTGGAGAGTGGAAATGGAGCCCAATTTAGAGTCGGACCTGGGTTCGAATCGTAATTGTGGCTCTTCTACTCCCTACTAGTATGACCTTGGGTAAGTCATTGAACTTCTGGGGGCCTCACTTGGCGCATCTGGAACATGAAGGGGGCTGGACTAGATGACTGTTGAGATTCCATCCAGCTCTAAATATATTCTTTCCTCTTAGAGGATAAGGGAGGGCTTTAGGTGGCGCAGTAGATGGAGTGCTGGGCCTGGAGTCGGGAAGACTTGAGTTCAAATCCAGCCTCAGACACTTACTAGCTATGTGACCCTGGGTAAGTCACTTTACCCCTGTAAAACAGGGGATAATTATGGCACCTCCCTCCCAGGGAGATCAAATGATATATGTAAAGTGCTTTGTAAACTTTAAAGTACTATATAGATACCAGCTATAATTATTATTATAGCTAACAATGGTAGGAAGAAATCTAACAACATTACCTGATCTGCCTTCAAAATTCTCCATTTCTATTGTAGAGAGACGATCCCACTTCGAATCTTTGACCATTGACCCAAACCCACCCAGACCTTGTCTATTAATGCCCTGGAAAGGGAAAGAAAACCAACTGGGTATGCTGATAAGGAGATTATTAACAAAGAATGAAGCCATTTGGAGGACTTTGGAATTTCAAGGGAAATGTTCTTTTTCCTCCCCTATCACTATGAGCTTCTGGGTTGGGGCTCCAGAGGTCCCGGGAGCCGGGAGCCCCAAAGGTGCCAGAGCTGAGCAGCCAGAGCTGGAGCAGGGTGGTAAGTCACATCATTCTTTCTTTGAGGTTGGGGGCAGGGGACTGCTCTGAGTCTTAATGGCAACAGTCATAGAGATGATGTCCCCTCCCCATCTGATTCCTGTCCCCACGGGAGGGCATTGTTTCTCCAAGCCCCATGTGAAGGGAAGGACAGAGCTAGAGGGTGATGCATGGGCAGTTACCAAGAGGCAGATTTGGTCTTGATGTAGGGGAGAACTTCCTGACTGATAGAGCAGGGGTTCTTAAGCAGGGGTCCACAGATTCACCTCGGGGTACACTCAGTCCTGGCTCAGCAGCAAATCAGAGGCTTTTCTTCACTATTCACTAATTGGACAGGAAACAGTCACAGAATCCCTGCATGTGCTCTGATGGGAATTGGACCTCTCCAGAAGTAACGTCAACAAACTCCCAACTTTAAATTGCTACATAAATGTTAGTTGCTATTATCATTAGTAATAAGTATTTATTGATTGGCCAATTATCTGGGCCACGTTTTCCTCAACCAGAAGTGGGTTATGTATGATAGGCTGAGTTGCAAGTAAGGTTGGACAGGAATAAGTTAATATTTATGTAAAGACATACACACTTACACACATACCTACATGCAGACACACAAACACCTATATACAAACACTTGCAAATATGTGTGTACACTATATACATACATATATGCATACATACCTACATCCGCATGTACATGTATACATACATACATATATACATACACACACATATCTTTTTCTCAGCCCCAAGAATTGGTATCTATGGAATTATCACAAAGACTTTACGTAATGTAACCCATTGCTTCTGGACCTTGACCCTGAGCATTTAATTGCCCCAGATAAAGTAGCAGATGTGCAAACAGTCTGCAAAATGCAGTGTGTGTGTGAGGCATGGTAATGGGAATGTATCATATTTGTAATAACCTCAGCAGGTAGGGGGTGGCTTCCCAGATCACCTCCATTACTTTATTAAGAGAAGAAATAGGGGTTTCTTGAATGGAGCCAGCGTAGACAACAGGTGTTGGGGGAAAGGTATGAGGCTGAGAAACAGAAGTCCTGTCTCTCATTCGCTGCTCCTTAACTTCTTCTCTGCGCGTGACCTTAGGCAAAGCACCTTCCCCTTAAGAACCTTGGCATTCTGTATCTATAAGATTGACTTTATCCTGATCACCGTTCCAGCACTTCCAGCAAACCAGACTCATCCCACTAAGTAAACTTCCCTCTTTTTTGGTTCTGTTTCCGTGGTTTGTGAAAAAGCAGGGTTGAGAGCAGGGAATAGAATAGAAGGGTATTTCAGTCAGGTGTTCAAATGGTTGTTGTTATTCCATCATGTCCAATTCTGGAAACCTGTTGATGGGATACTCAGGCCCCAGCCCTAAGATCATGTCAATGGAAGCCTCTCAATTTCTCACAGGGCTTCCAGAGACATGATCTTAGGGCTGGGGCCCAAGCAACCCCTCATTGTTTGGGTTTTTCTTGGCAGAGATACTGTAGGGGGTTGCCATTTCCTTCTCCAGCTCGTTTTACAGATGAGGAAACTGAGGCAAAAAAAGGGTGAAGTGACTTGCCCAGGGTCACACAGCTAGGCTGGATTTGAACTCATGAAAACGAGTCTTCTTGACTCCATGCCCCAAACTCTATCCACTCTGTTACCTAGCTGCCCCTCACAAACCATACGGGTTTAATAAATGGTTGTTGATTTTACTTGATAGAAACTCCACAAAGATTGGACCAACTAGAACACAGAAATAACAGCAACAACGATAGTAACTCCTATTTATATAGCACTTTAAGCTCTGCAAAGTACTTTATGAAAAAAAATATCTTTTATCCTTAAAACAAACCTGGGTGGCAGGAGCTATAATTATCTCCATTTTACAGATAGAAAACTGAGGCTGGGACAGGTGAAGTGACTTGCCCATGGTCATGAAGCTCATAAATGTGTAAGACCGGACTTGAACTCAGGGCTTCCTGACTCCAAGATCAGAATAGCCCCACCTAGACATTTGTACGCCTGTTGTTCTACAATGTACAACAGAAACGTTCCACATTGTAGAACAGTGTTTCTAGAGCAGAACTGAATCAAATTGAATTGAATTGCAGCGGTCTTTTGGTTCAAAGACTCCTTTGGGCAGGAGGTAAATTAGCACCAGCACCTGCATCTTTTAATGAAAATGCTAAAAATCAAAAGGAATGTAAAGATCCTTAATTTGTATCTTCCAGCAATTGGTAAAACATGGCATCTCCTGGGTTTGCAGTCAGTGGACCATCTGTGGTTTACATCCCAGACGATGTGAACGTCATCCACAACCATCACCCCGTGGTTCCCGGAGGCTGAGACCAAGGCACAGGGGTGACAGTCTTACAAGTCCCAGCCAGCGTGATGCAGCATGTTGGAGGGGCCCTAAACTCACCCAGTGCATCCATAGGGTTCAACAACACACCCTTCACGCTCCAGAATCCACCTGGAATGTCAGACTTGTCAAATGCAGCCGTGGTGGTTCAGAATCCTTCCATGGCGATCCAGAATCCTGTTGGAATGGCAAATTCCCAGAATCCACCCACGGGGGCTCTGAACGTGACAGGAACAACTACCCTACAGAACTTACCCGTGGTGAACCAGAATCCCACTGTGCTTTCCCCAGGAACCACACACATTGAGAACCAACCTATTTCGTCCTTATCATCTGGAAACTTTACTACGTTTGATGTAAAGAGATTCATGGCTCAGGAGGTCAATTCCTTAGGGGTGAGTGTGATTTTGAATTTCTTTGCTCTTCAGTTGATGTATTCTCCTAGTAGGGGCTGAGAGTCGCACTTGGATAAAGAAGGGGGAATTCTCAGAGGAGACATCCATTCAAAAGGCGGCACTTGGGCACCAGAGATCTTTGGATCCTAACACTCTGGAGAAGCCCTTTCCAAGTATAATACTGCTGTGTCTTTTTTTTCCCAAAGGATTATTTATTTCGGGAGTATAATCACAAACACATAAACTTACTCTGCCCCGCCCTCCCATGAAGGAGGCATAATCCCTGTGAAATGCAAATCAAAACAATCATGTTGGAAAGTAATTTGGTTCAAAGAGAATAGATATTTTAGTCACTTTATTTGCATAATTCCAAATTGCTTTCCAAAATGGCTGTACCATTTCACAGATCCACCAACAATGTATTCGGGCGGCTATCATTCCACAGCCCCTCCAACAATGACTATTATAATTTTTTGGTCATTTTTGTCCATTTGCAGGCTGTGAGGTAAAACCTCAAAGTTTTGCATTTCTCTTATTATTAGTGATTTGAAGCATTCTTTCATGTGGTCGTACTTTGCAATTCTTTTTTTTGAGAACTGTTAATATCCTTTGGGCAGCGAGGTGGCACAGTGGATGGAGTGCTGGGCCTGAAATCAGAAAGACTCATCTCCCTGAGTTAAAATCTGGCCTCAGAGACTTACTAGCTGTGTGATCTTCAGCAAGTCACTTCACCCTGTCTCTCTTGGTTTCCTCATCTGCAAAATGAGCTGGAGAAGGAAATGGCAAACCACTCCAGTATTTCTGCCAAGAAAACACCCAGTGGAGTCACAAAGAATCAGACGTGACTGAACAACAATATCCTTTGACTATTTATCTATTAGGGAATGGCTATTACTCTTACATATATTTATTAATTGTGTGTGTGTGTGTGTATACACATATGTATGTATTTGTGTCTATATATATATGTCTATATATATATATGTGTGTGTGTGTGTGTGTGTGTGTGTGTGTGTATCTATATAGAAATATATAATATATATATATATATATGTAGATATTGGATACCAAATCCTCATCAGAAATATTTGATACAAAGAGACACTGACCTTTGAAGAGCTACCAAAAGGATCCTTTAGTGCCTAGTATCAAGAAACCATCATGCTACGGGAGAGGTTTTCAGGGAAGATGGCAGAATATTTCAAACATTTCCAGGCTCTACAGATTTCCTTCACAAACAGAAAATCGCCACAAAATGAAAGTAGAGCAGCAAAAATAAAGGGGTAAAGCTGTTGTCCTCCTAAGACAACTTAGGACTTCAGAGGAGAGGACTTCAGAAAAGACAGGGCCTCCGGGGCTGAGGTTTGGCCTGAGTGGAGTGTAGACACCTTGTGGCTGACTCCATTGAATCAACAAAGAGTAGGCCTTGAGGGCAGCTCTATAGGGAGGTGGACTAGTCCTCAAGAAATTTCACCTCAACTTCCACCTCACTCACAGAATATGAAATATTAAAATATAAAATATAACAGCAATATGCTCCCTGGAGTAAGACAGGATGGGCGGACACCCCAATGTTCCTTATAAAGAATAGCTATTACTTTCTGGCCTGAAAATGTTGGCGTGGTTTCCCTCGGCATTTCCATTCCAAAGAGGATCTCGCTAACCAGGAGTTGCCTGTGTCTTTCCAAAAGCCCAACTAGATTTCAGGCATCCTTCTCTCTTTCTCTAAGAGACAAGGCCTGGAACTCTTGAACCTGGTGTTGTGAGAAGATCAGCCCCTGAAGCTGAGGTTGCCTAGGAAATCCCTCCTTCCCTGTCCAGGAGCCTGATGGTTGGGGAAGGCTCATCACTCGAATCACGCCTGCTCCTTGCTGAGGAGACCATGCACGCCTTTGCACCTGTCCCTTTGGCACTGAGAGTCCAGGGACTTAGCCAAGGAACTCTGAGAGCTCCACCCTGCATTCTGCCATCTCTTTGGCTTGGGGGAGAGGGGGTGTGGTCAGTTGGTCCTCGGGGGGCCTCTGCCAATAATACACTGGCACTCTCAGGCAGCAGGGCCACTTCTCAGGTCTCTGACCTCTGGTGGTGCCTCAAAAAGGAAAAAATGAAGAAAGAGTGCAGTCAATAAGTCAGTCAACAAGCATTGATTAAGCCTTACTATGTGCCAGGCACTGTGCTAATCACTGGAGATCCGGACAGAATGGCCCAAAAGGAGTGAAACTTGGCCATGGCAGGCAACCCAACCAGAGCCTCCCCAATGCCCAGGAGCCGTCCTCAGTCCTCTCCCAAGCTTGTCCAAGGGCACACCCCATAGCTTCCACAAGGAAGCTTTTGAAATTCAGGAGGCAAGAGAGGTCGGTGGAAAGAGCCCAGTCTCTGGAATCCAAGTCATATCTCAACTCAGCCACTTACTATCTGTGTGACCTTGGACAAGTCACCTAACTTCTCTGGGCCTCAGTTTCCTCTTTTGTAAAATGAAGGGGTCAGACTAAACGCTCTATAGTGGCCCTTCTGGCACTAAGTCTATGATTTTGTGAAACTACTGATTAGCTCCCTGCATGCCTTATCTCTACTTCACATCATACTCTGCTGGAAAAGCCAGTGTCTGAAATTAGGGTCAGAGTCCCAGCTCCTCCCAGCTATGTGACCCTGAGCTACGGCTCAATCTCTCTAACAGATCTAGTAAATTCTTATCTCCTCATCTGTAAAATGAGGGGGGTGGTCCAGATGACCCCTAAGGTCCTTTCTAACTCAACATCCTATCATCCAGAACTCCTCCAGGTCCCCCATGCAATGGCGGGAAAGGATTCAAGTGTGAGCTGGGGTGCAATGCAGATCCATGGGATAATTTCCAAAATTTAAGAGCTAGATGCCAGGTCTTAGAACACTTTTCTTGGCTGGTTTAAAGCATTATTATTCATTCTCAAGGCAAAAAAAGAGGAGGGTATACTCTTTAAAGAAAAAGATTATTGATTGATTTTTAAGCTGGACGTTAACATTCATTTAAAATGTATTCCTCCTCCAGCAAACCATCTCTTGTAACAAATGTTCCAAGGGAAAGAGGAGTGGTGAGCCCTCTGTGTAGAGAGAGGGTTCTTACTGTGTGGCTTGGATGGAAGGAGACGCAGTGTCTCCAGACTATTCTCTCCCCATCCTTCTCCAAGGGAGACTTTCATTCCTTCCAGGAGGTGAAGCAAAGAAAGGGGGTGCCAGGCTAGAAGCATATCTATTGTAAATATTGTTCATCTGGGGATTATGATCGGGTTCCTTCTAACTTCTGATTGCTTTGTAATTGGGTGGGGAGGGAGCTCCCTATCCAAGGCTTGACCCAATTACCGCCAAACACCAGCTCCACAATGAACACCCGAAAAGAAGGCAAAGAAACTCATTTATCAAAATCATAGCAAAAGGACATCAGAAAAGGTATATGGAGGAGAGTACATACCAGACACTTCAGCTACTCCCAGTAGGAGTGAAATAACTTAGTACCACCACAAGAGAAAGTCCTGGTTCTCACACAGAGGGAAACTGCCCAAGTCTTTACTGGAACAACGGGAAATGGGGACATGATGAAGACAGCCAGCTTCTCTCACATCTTCCCAGAGTCTAGTGGAATTGGTCTCTTCCATCCTCTATCTCAAAGCTAGAAGCCAGAAGCCCCCAAAGCCACTTGACCTTGGAAGAGTCCTGAAGAAGCCTGTAAACCAATGAATCCCCAAAGGGGACTGGCCCTGAAGAGTCGCGAAGAGGGACTCCCCTTGGAGAGTCCCGAAAGGGAACTGGAGAAGGTTGGAGCTCTCCCGCCTCTTGCCAACTCCACCCACCCCTAAGTGTAGGGCATTCATCTCCACCAATAAGGAGAGAGTCCCATACCAATGGACTTCGGGACAAGGATTACCCAAAGAATAAAAAAGAAAGGGCTAGGGGAAGGATCAGCTCTATACAAATGACCAATGCCTAAGTCAAGTCTGATAGCATACACAAAGTTCAACATCTAACCTCAGCAAAGGGGGGGAGGGAGGCAGAAAGGAGGGGCCAAATTTGGTTGCTATAATTTCACAGTGTTCAGTTTGGGGGCGGGGGTAGTTGTTACTCTGAGAATATTCACAAGACCCCTTTTCCTAAGCATGACCCAAAGAAAAGCTACGGGAAGACACACTCTTTGACTCCTTTGCAGAAATGAGAGGTTTGTGGTTATAGAACACTGCATAGACTTTCAGATCATTTTAGATATATTGATATATTTGCCATTTTTCTCTCTCTTCTTATTTTCTTAAAAAAAAAACTTTGGCTATATGCAGGGGTGTGCTGGAGTCAACTCAAACCTGAGCCGGTTGTTAAATTTTCAGTGTGAACATTTACACCTTAGAGATTGGCAAATGCCAATCAGGGCTTCAGTCATTGTTTTGTTGACTGTCTAGATTTACAGGTAGAGAAAATATTGATAATACAGACAGAACTTAAAAGTATGTCCTATGTACATATATTTTTGGAGAGCCAGTTGTTAAACATTTATTGGCACAGTCTTAGTCATATGAGATAGCTCTCTGGAGAGAAGAGAAGGCATAGAGGTAGAAATTTAGGCAATGTAACAACAAAAGAGTTCCACGGAATTTATTTTTTTAATGATCTTTTGTTCTGATGAGACAGTTCCTAACAGTTTATTTGGGGGCTCCTTGGAACCAGGAAGATGACGTTTTAGAAGCAGGAGTCAGAGGTCTGGGGGAAGGGATGGGACTGAGGCCAGGAAAAAGGAAGGCAGATAAAGAAACCAGGGAGATTAAGCTAAAGGAGCTGATTTTGCAAAATAAATAAACAGAAGGTTGAAGATTTAAATCTGGATGGGGCCAGAGGGCTCAGTTAGTCCAACTGTCCCACTTGATTTTGGGGTTAGGTTTTTTTTTTTTTTTGCCAGGCAATCTGGGTTAAGTGACTTGCCCAGGGTCACACAGCTAGTAAATGTCTGAGGCCAGATTTGAACTCAGGTCCTCTTGACTCCAAGGCCAATACTCTACCCACTGTACCACCTGGCTGCCCCCAACTGCCCCATTTGAAAGAAGAGGAAATTAAGTACCAGAGAGAGGTAGTGCCTCAAATAGGCTGCCACAGGTAGGAAGTGGCAGAGCTAGTATTTAAACCCAGATCCTCTGACCATGGCGCTGGGTTCTTTTCTCCCCAAACAGATGGAGTCTAACCAGGCCTACTGGAATAAAAAGAGTCATAAAGCCTTCATCTAACCAGAGGGTGTGATAGAGGGAGGTTGGTCCAGATTTAGGACTTCATCCATGTGGGGAACTCATCACACAAAAACTTCTTTCACCAACACAAATCAACAGTTTATGAGGAAAATCTTTAGAGTTACATGAGGAAAACAGAGTGGTCACATGACTTGCTTAGGGTTACATGGTCAGGATACAACAGGACTTGAACCCAGGTCTTCTGACCCGTTATCTACTACACCTTGCCACCTGGAAGGAAGGCAGCGGGTAATCACAACGACAACAACAGTAAGTGACAAGTCCATAACACTTTTAGTTTTACAAAGCACTCTCACCAAGGAGACATTTAACTTGGGGGGAAACATCTTTGTGGCATGTTTCTCCAATAAAAGTCTCATTTCTAACTTAAATTTCTAAAACTAAGAACTATTCTCTGACTGATATATGGTCCAAGGATATGAATAGCAGTTTCTAAGGGAAGACATCCAAGTTATTAAGGATCATATGAAAAAATGCTCCAAATCACTAATAATTTCAAAAAGCACAAATTAAAGCAGCTCTTAGTTTCCACCTCCCAGTCACCAAATTGGCGATGTTGACAAAAGTTGGAGGGGCTATGGGAAAACAAGCACATTAATGCACTATTGATGGAGATGTAAATTGATCTAGCCATTCTGGAAAGCAAGTTGAACTACGCCCCAAAAGTCAAAGTGCACACACCACTCTGGTCCAGCAATAACACACGCAGTCCCTTCTGTCCAAAAATACCAAGGAAAGAAGAGAAGGATCCATGTATTAAAAATATTTATAGCAGCACTATTGTGGTGGCAAATAACTGGAGACTAAGGGGATGCCCATCATTTGGGGAATGGCTGAACAAATCATGGTGGAAATGTAATAGGATACTATTGTGCCATAGGAAATGGCAAAAGGTACAGTTTCCAAGAAACCTGAGAAGACTTCTGTGAACAGATATAGTGTGAAATAAGTAGAATCAGGAGAATAATTTATACAAGAACATTATAAAGAAAAATAGCTTTGAAAGGCTGTAGAATTCTGATCCACACAATGACCAACCAGGATTCCAGAGGACTTAATGATGAAGCATGCTACCTAGCTCCTGACTGACATGATGGACTCAAGCTACAGGATAAGACACATATTGTTGGACATGGATAACATGGGATTTGTTTTGCATATAATGCTAATATACTATGTATGTGTGTTATAAGAGTTTTCTCTTTCTTGCTCAGCATGGGGTGAGGTAGGAGAAAAAGAAAATGAATGCTTGTTCATTTTACTTTTTAAAAAAAAAGAACGTTGTTCATCATGGATACCCTGCGTGGTTGGTAATGTACGTGTTACTCGTCCCCACTTTCAGGATGAGGAAACTGATGCTCTAAGAGGTTAAGAGTCTTGTGCAAGGTCACACAGCTAGTAGTAAGTGGCTCAGCCAGAACTCAAATACAAATCTCCTGATTCCAACAAAAATGTAATACCTTGCACAGGTCACTTTCATTCTCACCTGCCTCAGTTTCCTTCTCTGTAAAATGAGAAGGTAGGACGGGATGAAATCTGAGGTCCCTTCTAGTTCTGAAGTCCCCTGATCCTATAACCTCTCTGAGGGCTTTATTCACTCCCTCCATCAAGCCTCTAATGACCAGGAATTCCCACTGTGTCTAGGCAGCCCAGTGAGGAATGTGACTGTTAGGAGGAAGCAGCTTTCCTCCAGCCCTCAGGATTCCCTTACAAAGAACAGAGAATTCTCCAGTCACTCACCGATGAGAGGATTCCTAATCTCTCTTCTGTCCCAACAGGCTGTACAAATCATGACTGGCCTGATGCATATCTGCCTTGGCTCCGTTCTCTTGTATTTCTTGAAAGTTGTGCTCACCTACTCGGGGTATCCGTTCTGGGGAGGACTGTCGGTGAGTAGAGCAAAGCCACATACATGGTCTTCAGAGTGTGGCCTGGGAAGAGGAGGAGGAGGAGTAAGAGGAAGACAAAGAGGAAGGCAAAGAGAAGGAGGAAAAGGAAGGAAGAAAAGGGAGAGAAGGAATAGAAAGAGGAGGGAGAGGAGGAAGCAGAGAGGACAGCATCACACTGCACGCCTAGGGAATGCCGTCAGGGCATCTCTAGGCGTTCCCCTTCTTCTCTCCTAAGATGGAAATTCTAAGAATCAGCCCTCATTATCATCATTATTCATCAAAATGCCATAATAATATTAATTATTAGGATGCCAATGCAGGCAATATGTCCTAGCAGATAAAGAAGGCCAGCCTTGGGGTCAGCAAGACTTGATTCTAAGTTCTACCTCAGACATTTTGGGTGTGGAATCCTTAGCAAGCCCCCACCTCTCAGGACCCCAGGCAATTCTCGGAGAATACAAATTACAGAATAATTTGCTAACAAGCATTGGTAGAAGGAGTTTCCTTGCTGAGAATTTTCTATTCCAATGAAATCACAAATCAAGATCAAAAATAACAATGGTTCAGTAGTGTCTGACTCTTTGTGACCCCATTTGGGGTTTTCTTGGCTGGGATACTGGAGGGGCTTTGCCGTTTCCTTCTCCAGTTCATTTGACCAATGAGGAAATTGAGGCAAACAGGGTTAAATGACTTGCCCGGGGTCACACAGCTAGTGTTTGAACTCATGAAGATGAGTCCTCCTGACTCCAGGCCTGGCACTCTATCCACTGTGCCATCCAGCTACCTGAGTGGGAATGGAGAATCTAATCAGCTTCCTATTGCTACTGTCTCATTTCCCCAGAGAAACCTTAGAAAAAATAACTTCTCTCTGCCCTGGGGAGTTGTAAATATGAATCAATAATTCATTTAGCTGGTGCTGAGACCCCACCCCAAGATCTCACTCTGGAAAAAATGCTACAGTTTTAACTCTCACGTCACAGGCTCATAAACAGTGTTTCCAGTCCCCCTCTCTGTACTGTATCCCAGGTTAGCAAAGTAAGTGGCTAACAGCTTAATCATAATTACTGGCTTAAGAGGCAAAGTACATCTTTAAGTATAGAAGGGGAAAGAAACTTTTAAGGAAGAAGAATAAGCCTCTCTAACCCTGGGGAAAGGGAAAAGAGAGGAAAAAAAGAGCAAAAGGGAAATGAAGACTCATCACTTTCGATCCTCAACCCATACAGGTTTCAGCAATGTGGGATCTGCCTCAATATACCTCATGCCTGAGTCATACCTTGGATATGTCTATGCATATACCTTGTATACCTTGGATCCAGATTCCAGTCCTGGTAACCTCATGGCTATAGCCCCTCTCCTGCTACACTGTTGCTGAGTCTCTCTTATTTCTCTCCCTCAGCTCTTCCCTTCCCATAAGTCCAAAAAATGGGAAGGGCTAGCTTATAAGTCCCAAGGCAGCCCCTCTGCCAATCCCAAGGTGGGGAAAATCTCTTTGGACCAAAGAGAAGGATTCCAGGAGATTTCTGCCTGAAACCAGTTAGCACCCCGTCTTTAGCATACAGACCTCCAGCAACCTCTAGGAACAGCTAGAGTAGATATGGCTAAGATAATAGTGCACAAGGAAACAGTATAAACTGTGTAACATCACTACAAGCAGCAAAAATTTAGTACCTACTGAATACCTAGCATGACATGACCTGGTGGCCAAAATTATACAGCTCACCATCTTCCACGGACTAATGAATGACAATCCCACCCCTCATCCACCCCCATTATAAATAACAGATGTCACAACATGCTGGAAAACATAACCAAAAAACCGTAATGGACTTGGACTCTTGTCATGGACTAAACTATTGCCCATAATCAAAAGGAAATATCACTGATCCATTAAAACTGAAAAAAAAAAAACATTTTAATAGATGTTGCCATGCTAAATACTCATAATCCTTAAACTGCTTGGAACAAAAGGTCTGTCAATATATAGAGACCTAGCAGAAGAAATCAAACTCTCATGGGAACAGGATGAGGCCCCTGTCATCCCTCTTGTCCTCTCTGCTACTGGAGTTGTTACAAGGAGGCATTTGGGTGACCCTAAAGAGGGTGAGCTTAAATCCTAATATTGTTATTCAAGGACAAAAAAAAGAAGCCATTATTTTGTCCCCTACGCAATAGCCCATAGAACGTTGTGAAAGAATAATAGCAGGATAGTGACTTATCCCTGGATGACTTCTACTCATTGAAAATGATAAGAATGAGATTTGAATAAGGAGGTGATGCTTCAGTGAAGTTCAGCATGAACCAGCTAGGGACCAGCCCCTGGGATAAGCAATCAGGACAGAGACAGAAGAAAGTCCCTGCCCTCAGGGAGCTTTCATTTGACTGGGGAAGATAGCATTAGTTACACCTGACCCTCACTACATTGTAGAGCGGATGCTCCAAGGCTCAGAGAATTTCAGTGACTTGCCCATGGCAACACAGTTACTAAATGTCTGGGAGAAGAATTCACACCCAGGTCTTGCCATTTCCTAGTCCAGCGCTCTGTCTCTGTTGCAATACCTCAAGAGTCTATCCATGACTGATGCTCCGTTCAGCTGTGCACGTCATGACCCTTCTAGAAGATATGGTCTTTGGGAAGCTACGTGGCTAAAAATCCCATCATCCTCAGTCAGTCTGGTAATGAAAGAGTCCAGACAGCTGGCACATAAGTCATTCCTAGGCCTGTATTCAAAGCTTTTTTTATTTTGGCAGACCCTTCTGCAGCTTGAACTCTGAAGAAGCCAATGTAACCTTCACACCAGAGGAGACCTTTAATATCACTATCAGCTTATGTTTCTATTATACTTCACAATACCCAAAGGCCTTTCCTCAGGCCCACCCCTTGAATCATGACCCAAAATAAGTCCAGGAATAATTCTGTGAATTTATCATCCCTGGAAACTCATTTTTTGTGATCCTTTTATAACTTAATAAATGAATCCAATGCAGTTACCTGAAATACATAGAAGTTAAATGACTAGTCTGGAGTCATACAATGTCAGAGGCAGGATTGGAATACAGGATTTCTGATTTTAGGCCCTGTATTCCAACCTCTTCATGCACTGAGACACAATCTCTGCCCTCAAAGAGCTTTCAAGAAAAGACAGGAAGGGCAGCTAGGTGGTGCAGTGGATAGAGCACCGGCCCTAGAGTCAGGAAGACCTGAGTTCTAATCCAGCTTCAGACATGTAACACTCACTAGCTGTGTGACCCAGGGTAAGTCACTTAACCCCAATTGCCTCACACACAAAAAAAAATTCAGAAAGAAAAGAAAGAAAATTTATTCCATATTAAAATATGCACTAGTATATGAAAAATGTAGTGCAGTACAGAATCAATGAGAACAGAACTGAATCAAGTAGACTATAATAGTCCAGTATTATGCAATGCAGTACAGCAGAAGAGAATTGAATGAGGACATATAGGATGGCGAATGAAGTGCCATGCTGAGTCAGAAGCAATGACCCTCTCTTCCTCGAGAGGTGGGATCAAAGTCTGTATCCTAATGGTGGGGTTGCTTGAGCTGGGCCCGGAAGCATGAGGAAGATTTCAAAAGGCAGAAAGGAGGTGTCAGGAAGAATATTCCAAGAGGAAGGGACAGCCTGAGCAAAGATATTGAGGTGGGAAAACCCTAGGTCTGTAAAAGATAAAATGAGCTGTCCACTTTAACTGGAGCATTTTGTTCTTCAGTCATGTCCAACTCTCTGTGAGCCCATATGGGGCTTTCTTGGCAAAGATCCTGGAGCGGTTTGCCATTTTCTTCTCCAGCTCATTTGACAGATGAGGAAACTGAGCCAAACAGAGTTAAATGACTTGCCCAGGGTCACACAGCTAGTAAGTGTCTAAGCCCAGATTTGAACTCAGGAAGCTGAGTCTTCCTGACTTCAGGGTCAGCACCCTCTCCACTGCGCCACTTTGCTGCCCTAAGTATGAGGGGGTATATCTCAGGGTAAGCTTGGCATGGGAGAGAGGTGCCAAGTTGTAGAAAGCCTCAAATGCCAACAAAAGAAAAGCATTGGAAAAGAAGCATAACCTGACCAGGGGATCTAATGAGGAAGATTACTTGGGGCTCTTAAATGTTATAAATAGCATAAATGGTTCTCCCTTTTTTACCTACAGTTCATTGTTTCTGGAACTCTCTCAATATTAGCTGCAAAACAACCAGCACAGTGCATGGTAAGTTATCCATTTTACATACAGAGTTCAACTTTACAGCGAGAACCTCCTCAGGATTCATGTGGTCTTCTAGGTAAGATCATCCACTCTTTCCAGAGCTTTCGGCAACTTCTGATGGCATTCAAGATGGATGTGCTTTGAATTGCCCTCTGGGAGCCTCCGAGGAGAAGGTGCATGAACCTGTGCTCTGTGAGTCTGGAGGAGACATCTGCGCCCAGATAAAGTAACCTCTGAGACTAAGAAAACAGAATTGTGAGGTTCCTACTTTACTTCCCTTTCTATTGGAAACAACATGAAAAAGAATAATTCCATTTTAAAAGAGGCTTAGAGATGGGAATTTAACCACAGGGAATGCATTTCTTATAGGACCGATCCTGACCTTTAACAACTCTTGTAACCCCAAGGCTTGCCTATTTCTCTATTTCCGTTCTTCTTGGATTGTGGTGGGCTGAAAAAGCTATAAAAGCCCCATTTGGACCCTAAAGAGCTGAAGCTTCCATCAAGGAGCAGTCTTCCATAGTACACAATTAAATTGCTTTTCTCTGTCATTTGGCTATTCAATTTTTGATCTCCAGTCTTATAGACATGATGGTAGCTAAGAGTCTTACTGGGATCTCAAGGAATCCAGGCTAGGAAACTCCCACGACATTTATAATCATGGGTTTGAAGGGTGAGTTCTATAGCAATGACTACTACTTCCAGTTAAAGAGGTAGTCTGTGAGCCCACATTCTTAAAACTCACAAGTCCCCACCAGTGAGCTACCCTTCAATAGTCAGCCAATAGATAAAATTAGCTCAAAGCAAAGGCATTTACTAATTTAGTAAGAACAGCAGTAAAAAAAAAATTCCCCACATAAACCTGGGGTACACTCTCCCTCAAATACATATGACATCAGTGAGGAGACTGGGCAGAACCTTAAGGTATACTAGTAGTAAGGCATACATGCAGCAAACTCAGGCTTCTCAAATTGGAGGGTCCTGACATCCTCTCCCTTCTCATGGCATCCTTATGCTACTTTCCTCCTTGGTAAAGTGTCTCTGCTACTGAGCTGGGTTCCCTGGGTCCGCTTCTCCCCACAGCTTCAAAGGTGACTGACAAGGCTAACTCTCTTTTGAGTCTATATTTACCTCTCCCCTCTTTCAGCAAAGGTTTTGTTCCTTGAATGCTTCTTCTCTGTGTATGGGTCTAACTAAAGACCCATGTGTATCTCTATTCCCTGCCCAGCTATGACATGTGTCTCCTACTGGGCAAGGAGCCCCACTGCCCAATGCCATGACCAGTGGGATGGGGGTAAGAGAAAATCTCCTCTCCCCACCACCACCACCATGGTCCCCCTATAAGGGTACAGGAGGTCTTACTCCACAAAGCTGCTTCCAGTCTCAAAAGCTAGAACTCTTAGATCGGCTGACTGCCAAAGGCTTGGTAAACTGAGCTTTCATTTATTTATTTTTCAAGGCAATCAGGGTTAAGTGACTTGCCCAGGGTCAATAGAGCTAGTGAGAATCATGTGTCTGAGGTTGGATTTGAATTCAGGTACTCCTGAATCCAGGACCAATACTCTATCCACTGGGCCACCCAGCTGCCCCTTGGACTGAGCTCTTGAAAGGGGAGAAGGGGAATGGTCAATAACCAAGCTTCTATTACAATTCAATCTGAGAAAAGGGATGTAAAGGGAGGAGAGGCTTTGTATTTCATTAGCATATTAATACCTCACTATTATCTGCTATTTGTCTGTTGTCTTCTGTGTTTAATTAGCTGAGGGGAGGAGTACATCTCTCCCCTTTCACCCCTCCACCCCACCCCCCACTACATGTGAAGGATGTTCCAGGACATAGGTCATGGTATAGTGACCTTACAAGATGGCTGCTCCATCACTGAAGGTGCTCAAGTACAAGCTAACTGACCACATGTTGGCGTTGCTAAAGAAGGAATTTCTGCTCTGGTACAGCTTGAAATCAGTGATCTCTGAAGTCGCTTCTAACTCTGGACTACTGCAGTTTCTATAGTAGGCACATTAGCAATAGTCACTCACCAGTTCTTCAACAAGAGTCCTTCTCCATAGAGAAACTCTCAGCACCAACTCCACCCCTCCCACAGGCACACAGAGGTCCTCTGGGCTCAATGTTCCTCAGTTACGAGTCTCCTCTCCCTACTCTGCAGCATCCAGGCTTCTCCGAAAATCAGGTTTTTGCAGTTACTTGAACACTTACAAGAAATCCCTCTTCTAACCCAGGAAGATGAGGTGCTTTCAAGCTCTAAACTAGTGTGACAGCTGTAGAGGGTGGGACCTGGAACTTGGATTCAAATCCTACTACTTACTAGCTGTGGAATTGTGGACAAGTAATTTCACTGCCTGGAACCTTGGTTTCCCCACCTGTAAAATGGGAGTTCTCATGAAGCTCCAATCAGAGAATGTCTTGCAATATGCCTTCTAAATGTTGATTATTACTCACCCAAACAGGTGATGGTTTTCTTTCTCTTCCAGGTAAGAGGCAGTGTTGGAATGAATATTGTGAGTGCCATCTTCTCCATTGGTGGAATGTTAATTCTTATCACTGACCTTATAGTGGTAGAGAATGCGGTGAGTGTCTATTCCAGTGTTCTCCAAAGAGGAATCCCTTAGGATGACCCCCAGGGGGTCATGGGTTGACCCTCAGGAGTTTGTCATCAACCAATCAAAAGGTGGGAATATGGGTCCCATTCCACCCCACCCCCCCTTGCAATAACCGTGGATGTGCTCCCCTGGGGCTCTGTCCTGGACTCTCTTCTGAGTTTTCCATACATGTCCTCATCCTCGTCCTCTCTTCGTTTAATTATTATCTCTAATAGATGACTCCTTGATCCATATACCCAATCCTAACCCGAAACTATACCAATTGCTTATTGGACATTTTGAATTTGTGGTCCCTTGGTCATATAACAACAATAACAAATAACATCTGTGCAGTACTTAATATAAGCCAGCTGCTGTCTTACATGCTTTACAATTATTATCTCATTTAGCCCTCAAAACAACTTGGAGAGATAGATCTATTATTATGCCCATTTTACAGATGAGGAAAGTGAGGCAAATAGAGGTTAAGGGACTTCCCAGGACCACCCAGTTAGTTAGTATCTGAAGCCAGACTTCAACTCAGATTTTCCAGACTCCAGGACCAGTGCCACATGGCTTCCCCTAAATTAACATGTCTAAAACAGAACTCGTTGCCTTTCATCCAAAACCCAAACCCTCTTCCCAAAGTTCCAGTTTCTGTTGATGGCACCCCCATCTTTCCCCATCCTTTGCAATATTGGCATTGTCCATGACTCCCTCCTCTCAATGACCCCACATATCCAATTCATTATCAAATCTAGTCACACAAAATGTCTTTAATCTCTCCCCTTCTGTCTAACTCACAAAGCTACCAGCCCCATCCAGGCCATCATCCTCTTGTTCCTGTATATTACAATGCCTCCTAATCTGTCTCCCTGCCTCAAATATCTCCCTTCTTCAATCCATCTCCCGCAGAGCAACCCTAAGAATTTTTCCTAAAATGCAGGTCTGACCATGTTACTCCCTCACCCAAAAAGCACCAGTGACTCCCTATCGACTCAAGGCTCAAATAGTATTTCATCTTTATCTCATCCTTTTTGAATTTTGACTTTTTTGGTTATAATGTACAGAATCATACGATTTCACTTATATGCACTATGTGCGGCTGGGGGCACAATCGATGAAGTCTTGGACTTGGAGTCAGGAAGACCTTAGTTCAAATCTTGCTCAGACATAACTTATCTGGGCAAGTCATCTAACTTCTCTGAGCCTCAGTTTCCTCATCTGTAAAATGGAGATAAAAGTTAACACCTTCTTCACAGGGGTATTATGAAGATCAAGTGAGATAATTCATGTGAATTATTTTTGCAAAATGCTATATAAATATTGGCTAAATAAGTAAATATACAAACACTGGAGTTGCATGCCCATTTTTTTTTTTTGCTTAAGGATTACATGATCAAAAATGTTTGGAGACCACTATACTGGTCTAGCCTACCAGGAGCTTTCAAATCGCCAAAAGAGTGAAAGGCGTGAAGTCAATGTTAAGGTACCGACTTAACACCTCCCCCTGGAGGAAGGAGGACAGACCCTTCTGTGGCCTTTTAAGAGGTAGAACCGCACAGTAGAAAAAGCATTAGACAGAATCAGAAAGACCCCGGTGACAGCTTTCTCATTACCGTTTACTACCTGCATGGCCTTGATCATGTCATTTCCCTTCTGTGGAATGCAGTGTCTTGCAGGTATGGCATACCTCACAGCATTATTATGAGGAAAGTACTACAAAAAGTCACAGAGTATACAGAAATTCCAAGGTGTTTTTTTATTGAAAAAAACCCATCTATTAAGCACTTAATGTATGCAGAATATTATGCAGGGCCCTGGAAGAAATATGAAATTTGAATGACATGGTTCCTGACATCAAGGAGCTCTCCCTATAGTGACATGTGACTCCATGATGCTGGACTACTTGGGATCATATCATTTTGAGTTGGGGAGGCCTTCAGAGGTAATCCAGTCCAGACCCTTTACTTTACAGATGGAGAAACTGAGGCCCAGAAAGGTTAGATTCCTGCCATGTGGGCTGTATAGCTTTACAAAGAGATGAATGAGGTTGATAACACTTCTTTTCCTCTCTGGATTTAGAGCCCAAATACCTTTATCTCCAGTGTCCTCTTTCTCTTCAGTTTCCTGGAGTGCGTGATCACCTGTGTATCTTCTCATTTTGGGTGTGAGGCCATAGGATGGAACAACTGGGTGAGTGTGGGACGTTTTCTGAAAATCGGGGAAGATGTGGGGCGGGAGGAGGAGCAGGATGTCCGCGCATAATAGCACGGAGAAGGGTGGCACCGCATGTTAGCTCCAGCGTGGACGGGTGGACTCAGGAAGACCCGAATTCAAATCCTACCTCTGACAATATCAAATCATTTAACCTCTCGGAGCCTCAGTTACCTCATCTGTAAAATGGGGAGGATAATCATACCTGCAGGCTGCCCTATGCAGTTGCTGTGAGGCTCAAATGAGAGCTTGGTCAAACTTTAAAGTGCGGGATAAATGCGTGCTGCCCTTACTAAAAGATGAGTTCAGAAGGCAGTGCCTTCCGGTGTCTGAACGCTGCTCATTATTCCCTTCTCCTCATCTCAGCACATCCCACCCCAACCCCTCCCGCCCCAGCCTGCTGTGAACAACCAGGACGGGACCTGAGGAAGAGGTGGGCAGTGACCTCGGGGCCTTTGCTTTTCAGACCACGATGATCCTCCTTCCAAACGCAGCCAACACAAGCAGAACCATGGCCAGAGCCCCGCAGCAAGGCTTCACGTCCGGAGGGGAATACCCTGAGTCCTTACCTTCAGAAGGAAAGAAGACTCCCCAGGCACCTGACTGCGAAGACCCAAGATCATAAGGATGCTGATGCTGACTTAGCAGTCCCGGCTTCCTCCGGAAAAGGGCAGTGGCCCCATATGCTGCTTTCCCCAGGGATCCGTTTCCTTCCATGAGGCTTGGGACTCCAAGACCATCTCTTCTTGAGCAATTTATGTTGCAAAGGCACCCAAGATCACATAGTCATTGCCAGACTTACCTCCCCTCTCCCTCCCCCTCTCCACTTTCTCCTTTGTTTCCTTCTGTCCTCTTCTCCCTCCTCCCTTTTTCTCTCTCCAAAGGCTTTTGCTCTGTTATTATTACTATTACTATCACTACCATTAGGCTGTTGACCAACTTAGACTCTTGGGAGGTAACCACAAAGAGCTTAGAGACAGGAGAAGTGGGTTCTAGCCCCAACCCTGCCACCAGCACACAACACAACAGCACCTTAGGACAACTCTTCTGACACCCAAGTCAGTGTGTTTTCATCAACATTTCACAACCTCTTAATTCTCAGGAAGCACGGTCAAATAGCCTCTGTCTTTTCCCCAAAAATCATAATCATAACCATAATAATCAATGAATCACCCCCTGGGTGATGTGTGTGTGTGTGTGTGTGTGTGTGTGTGTGTGTGTGTACACATATATCCAATAATGTCCTTGGAAATTCAACAAATAAACTATCTTGGAACTGAGGAATTATCATAGATGAATTTTTGCCCATAGTCGTTCATACAAGACACTGATCTGTAAAAACATTAGAAGAATCTTTTTAATAGATGTCACCAAACCAAATACTTCTTATCTCCAAGCTAAATGACTGAAAAGCTTTCAAAATATAGAGACATCCCAGAACCAATCAAAATTACATAATAACAGAGAAAAATCAGGTAGATAGATAGATAGATGAGAGAGAGAGAGAGAGATTGAAACTATCCTTGAGCTTTAATTGACTCAGGGGACTATGATTCTGGCTAGTGATGTAGCCTTCTGGTCACTTGATTCTAAAAACAGGAGGTGATGGAGTTCCTCCCTCAGGATTCTAAGACCAGCAGAATGGCCAACACCAGCACAGAACAGCCATGCTCAGGTGGATCAAGGATGAATCCTCAATAAATATTGTCCTTTCCCCACTCTGGATGGCCTTCCCCTACCACACCAGGGGCTAACTAAACTTCTTCTGATTACCTTTTGAATGACCTAGTGATGTCTCATTCATTCCAATCTAGGATGTGGGCCACAAGACTAGCCTAGTCAGCCCTAGCCCATGAAATGTTTTTTCTACAACTTCTAGTCTTTAAGGTTTCCCCTAGAGCATTGAGAGGTTAAGTGACATTTCTAGAGTCATATAATCAGTACGTGTACCATGTGGTGTAGTGGATAAAGAGTTGGCCTCAGAACCAGGAAGAAACCACCATGCCTCGACCACTTCCTGACTGTCAGTCCCCTTCTCCAACTGATGAGTTCTTTCCCAAATCTCCATTTTGAGGAAGTGTCCAGACAAGTCCCTCCTCATTCTGACTTAGCCTCCACACACCCTCTCCAGGACCTCTTTTATCCCTTCCCTTCACCTTTTCAGCTGCCTTTTATGTGTCTTTCTCCCATTAGAATATAAGCTTTTAAAACTAGTTAAAATAATCAACGACTTTAGTAAAAGTTGCAGGATATCAAATAAACTCACATACATCATCAGCATTTCTGTATATTACCAACCAAGTCCAGCAGCAAGAGACAGAAAAAGAAATAATTGTAGGCAATATAAAATACCTGGGAGTCTACCTGCTAAGACAAACCCAGGAACCATATCAACACAATTATAAAACACTTTTGCCACAAGTCAGACTGAAACAATTGGAAAATATTAATCACTCGTGGGTAGACTGAGCCAATACAATAAAAATGACAATTCTACCTAAATTAATCTATTTATTCAGTGTCATACCAAACTACCAAAAATGTGTTTTATGGAGTTATAAAAATAATACCAAAATTCATGGAAGAACAAAAGATCAAAAATATCAAGGGAATCAATAAAAAGTGAAGAAAAGTGGCCTCGTTTTACCAGATCTCAAACTGTATTACAAAACTGTAACTATCAAAACAACCTGATACTGGCTAAGGAGTAGAGTGGTGGATCAGTGGAATGGATTGGATATACAATACACAGTAGTAAATAAGCATAGTAATTTAATATTTGATAAACCCAAAAATCCAAGTTTTGGGGACAAAACCTTGTTACTTGACAAAAACTGCTGGGAAAACTGGAAAACCACATGGCAGAAACCAGGTACAGACCAACATCTCACAATGTATACCAAGATAAGGTGAAAATGGGTATATGATTTAGATGTAAAGGGTGATACCATAAGCAAATTAGGGGAGCATGGAATAATTTACTTGTTAGATCTATGGATAAGAGAAGAATTTAGGAGCAAACAAGATATAGAGAACATTGCAAAAATGTAAAATGGATAATTTTGATTATATTTAATTAAAAAGGTTTTGCACAAACAAAACCAATGCAACCAAAATTAGAAGGAAAGGAGAAAACTAGGGGGAGGGGGGAATTTTTTACAGCAAGTACCTCTGATAAAGGCCTTATTTCTCAAATATGTAGATAACTGAGTCAAATTGATCAGAATATAAGTCATCCCCCGATTGATAAATGGTCAAAGGATATGAATAGGCAGTTTTCAGATGAATAAGTCAAAGCTATCTATAGTCATGTGAAAAAATGCTCTAAATCACTATTAATTAGAGAAATGCAAATTAAAACAACTCTGAGGTACCACCTTATACCCATCAGATTGTCTAACATGACAGAAAACGAAAATGATAAATGCTTGAGGAAACGTGAGGAAACTGGGACACTAATGCATTGTTGGTGGAGTTATGAACTGATCCACTTCACAGCTTTGCAAATGGCTGACCCTGGGTCTATCCCTCCAAAGCATGTCAATAGTCACTTTCAGCCAATGTGCCAGAGTAGACACCCATGCTCTAGGCACAGAGATTTGAAAGGTATTTTGCATAGAGGCTTAATTGAAAAAGGGAATTCTCCATTTGTAACCCACAGCTCCATATACAGTGAAGTTCCCTCTCCATATTCATTCCCCCTTCCCCCCGGAAAGATTCTTTGAATCATCTTGCCTAGGTGTTTTCTAGCAGGAGAGGGAGTCAGTCTATACCAAGAGCACTTTCTAACTCTCAAGCGTTTTCCTTGCCCAAAGGGCACAATACAACTGAAATCCAGCCCTGGAATAGCCACTAACTCTCTTTGTGATGTTGGGCCCAGTATTTCCACCTGGAAAATGGTCTTTAAAGTTCCTCACAGGCTTGATGTCCTGTGATTCTCTGCTCTGACCCATCCTTAGCTCCAACTAGGGGCCCAGGAGGTTGCTATCAATAATAATAATTAACATTCACTTAGCACCTCCCTGGTAACAAATGCTTTACAGGCATTATTACCTTAGACTCCTCCACCATGACTCTGTGCTCTTCTCACCCTGGCACATTCCTTTTTCCGCTAGTGAGTTCCTTCCAAGCCCTCCATCTGGGCGGGGGGGGGGGCTGCGGGGCTAGCATGGCCATGCTTCATTCCCCTCCTACCTATGCTCCTATCTCTCTGGACTTTAACACCAACCTCTCCTGTGAGTACCTCCTTCCACTCCCCCCGATCCCTTCCCATCCCCAAGCTCCATGACAACAGGGACCATCTTTCTTTTTGCTTTCATTTGTAATTCTGGAGCTTAGAATAGCACATGGAAAACAGTAAGCACTTAATAAATGGTTGTTATCCACCTGACTTGAGCTTCATGACATCATTGAGAAGTAGCAAACTTCCACTTCCAGGAGCCAAGATGGAGGAGTAAAAAGGTAGTTGCTCTCACCCTCACCTATCAACCTCTGAAAACCCAGAAAATATCACCCCAGAAGAAAAAAAAAAACCCTGGAACAGCTGAACTAGAAGAAAGACAGGGAACAGCAGTACAGCAGCCCAGCAAACAGGTTTCCCAGTGTCTCAGTAAAAATAAGGGAAGCAGTACTACAAAGGGCCCCAGGCTGATAAGCACCCTACAACATTCATCTGAAAGGAGCTGAAGAAAGCAACCTAGAGTCTTCCTAAAGTTCCAGCCTTGCTGATTCCAACCCAACACCAGGTAAGTTGTCAGAACCCTACAGCCTCCAACTGTCAACCAGGAGATCCTGAAGCACAGGTGGTAGAGCAGGCAAACACCAACACCTGGACCTCTGAGTGCCTCAGTGAGGGCATTAGCAGAAAGGAGGGAGACAACACTGCAGGGGGCCCCAGGCAGATAAACACCCTGCAGCACCCATCTAAAAGGAGCTGAAGAAAGCTAAAGGAAAGGAAAAGCAGGCAACCTAGAATTGCCTGAAAGTTCCAGCCTTGCTGATTCCAGCCCAACACGAGGTAAGCTGCCAGAAACCTACAGCCTCCAATTGCCAACATAAGAGGCCCCAGCACACAAAGCCAGTGACCAAGACCTAGGCTCCCAACACAAGAAGCTTGGGTCAGTGCCCTCTGTTCCCCAGCAGGAGAGCTCAATCTCTTTAAAGGCCAGGGAATAAAGAAACACCATGAGTAAAAAGAAACGTACCATAGATTCATATTATGAGAAGAGTGAAGATCAAGACAGAAATTCTGAAGAGGACAACATTGTCAACAAACCCACATCTGCAACATCAAAAGGGAATATGAACTGGTCTGAAGCCCAAAAAGCCTTCTTAGAAGAGCTCAAGAAGGATTTTAAAAGTCAAGAGAGAGGTAGAAGAGTCCTTAAAAAATACAATTGGCCAATTGGAAAAAAAGTACACTGAAGAAAACAAGTCCCTAAAAAACACAATTGGCAAACTGGAAAAAGTGTACACTGAAGAAAACAAATCCCTTAAAAATACAATTGGCCAATTGAAGAAGGAAGTACAAAAACTAACAGAAGAAAACAATCTGTTAAAAACTAGAATTGGACAAATGGAAACTAATGACTCTATGAGAGAGCAAGAATCAGTCAAACAGAAACAAAAAAATGAAAAAATAGATGAAAATGTAAAATACCTCATTGGTAAAACAACTGACCTGGAAAATCGATCCAGGAGAGACAATTTAAAAATTATTGGACTACCTGAAAATCATGATGAAAAAAAGAGCCTGGACAGTATCTTTCAGGAAATCATAAAGGAAAACTGCCTGAAGTCCTAGAACCAGAAGGTAAAA